ATTTGAAGAATATTTGCAGATGCACTATTGAAGATGCACTTAACATCGATAGAGGTAAGCATGTTTCAGCTTGTTTTTAAACTAGACGTTACTTTGAATGAATAATAAAACAATAATTAATAGGCCACTTGCACTAAGAGGTCACGTGACCAATGCTTCCTTTAAACAATGGGTTGGAATCTTGCTGATGCCAAAAATTGTTAGAGCACACAAAAATTATCTTACACCCGAAATTTGAGAGGAAACGCATTTAAGGGAGATATTTTATGGTACTTTGATTTTTCAGTAAAGAAGTATGATTTGTATTGGCCGCCATGTTGGAGGGCATGCTTTTGCCCTCCAACATGGCGGCCAAAACTACTTCTTGCTTATATCTTGTTTAACGTTTCATAGTTACGCTCAGATGTGCTGTAAACGTTATCACATCATCTTTTCAACATTTTCCTTGAAGTTTAAGTGCAAAATTTGTGTTCAGAGAGAGGTAATTCATTATTTTAAAAATCACATTTTTTGGTCACGTGACCATTTACGAACTTATTCATTTTAAGAAAATGGTGCGGGTTTGAAAAACCAAATGACTATTATTTTGTTTAAGACATGACCCACTAATCGTTTTTCGAAGGCAAAATCATGTAACTTTCATTTTCATAAAAACGATGTCACATACCTCTTAGTGCAAATGGCCTATTCGGCTTTCGTAGAATATGAAGAATTATGGAGATCTCGGAGGGTGTTACACCCTCCTCGATCTCCAAAATTCTTCAGATCATACTCAGTCTCATTCAATAATTGCTAATTAAAACTTCTTTATAAGTTTTAGCACTGCACAATACCTGCTGCCCTTTGAAATAAGCTTCAATTATCAGTGACTTTACATCCAGATCCTTCAAGAGACAAACAATGCCATCAAAAAATTAGGGAAGAATGGCTAAGCAACTACTCATTACATCACAGTTGAAATCAAGAGCGTTCTATTATTGGACATTTTATTATTATTGAAGTATTAAAAAACGTTCTCTAGCTAAAAATGTTTAAAAAAATACAAGCTTTCGACCACCTGAACTACGGTCTTCAATGGTTAAAAAGATCAGAAAATGAAAAACTTCTAAAATATAGTGTGATAAAAATACAATAGAATGAAAATTGAGAGAGAATTCATTGAGAATTTTTGTCAACAAGAGTGCTATATTGCGATGGAGGAGGGGAAGAATTATTGTCCTCATTAGGTGTTTTCATAGTGTGCATAGCATTATTTTTATTAGTATCAGTCTATAACAAGTTACACAATATGAATGATGCAAAATGCACTTTGTAAGGAAAGTCAATAATGGACGTTTCTTCATACAGAAGTAACGAAGATCCTAGTACTGCATTTACGTTTATCTTATGGATCATTTACATTTTGACAAAACAGCTTTAAGTTAAGGACCACACCCACAAAGAGCAACGTTTGGATAATTTCACGATAATAATAGCACTGCACACAGTTGCTGTTCATAGAACTCAAACTCAGACCCTGTTCACAGGCACGGACAAATTTTTGAACAGACGAATGCTTTACCTGTGCAACCCCTTTTCACAGAACCGTGCAAATTCTGTTACAGATTGCAGTGCTGTCTCCCGTGTGAACGAAAGGCGGATCCGTGCAAGTTTATGTCCATTCTCAAAACTTGTCAATTTGACCAAAACGACAAATGTTAGACAAACAATACAAATTAGACACTCTGACATCATTTGTGTGCTGTGCTACTAGTGAAACAGTAAGTTTGGATGTGTTACAATTGACTGTATTTCTTTTGTATGAAATAGGTAAATAACAGTAACCGTGCAATAGTGAGTACTGATACCTTCATCAGGATTGGCTTGTTCCGAGCTAATGTCTGAAGTCCAAGCCAGTGTCCAAGGTTCTTTAATAGTGATCGATCAGAGAAGTTTGCTGGAACTTTGTCAGATTGAAGAAGCACCTATGGCACAAGAACATTATCAAGTCAGTCAAGGAACATGAATGACAGCAAAGATTTCTTGATAAAAACAGGTCACAGGTCACAAAAATAGCTGCCACTCACGATTCGTAAACCCTTTAAGCCCCAATATCCACGTCCAAATTCTCCATACTGATCTTTATATTAAGTCCAAAGAATCAGTTGAGAGAATGTGATAAAAGATTAATGCATGAGAGGAGAGGATTATTAAGTACCATAAACTGCCACTTATAAGTCCTCCCGTTTATAGGCCCATCTTCCCATAAACAAAAAAAATACATCTAATTATAAAGCCAACCTCTAGCTTATCATGAAATGAAATTGATTTATTATGATATTTGACTCCTAATTAAAAACCACAAAATGAAAAACGTATTTTGATCAATACTGCTATAGCGTGTTTAAAAGCACTTTTTTTTATCCCGGTTATAAGCCCTTTCATATATAAGCGTCTCCATATATACGCTCTCCTAAAACCCCTTAACAATATGTATAATCCCAGTGCTTATAAGTGACAGCTTATGGTATTTATGTTACGATTTCTTAATAGCAATTACGTATTGTTGCACAGGAGAGACTCATAAACAGCTGGAAGTTCAAGTTTCTCAGAAACAAAACATGGGCTTTGTTCAGACTTTTCTTTGCAACCTACCTTTATATTTCTGTATGTTTCCTTCAGCACCTCCCTAGCAAAGTTGGACAACTCTAGTGCTTCCATGAACTCCAAGTAAAGCTGATGAAAGTTAGGCTCAATGCTAGCTCTCTTCATCACAAGGTACTGGGATATCCACAGTATGTGCTCATTNATCTACTTTGTCTCCTGGTGAATGTGTTTGGAAAGTTATTTACTCTTTGTGTGAATTTTGTGGTTGGATCAGTGGAGGGGGGGGCGTGGTGGGGGGGGGGGTACTCCCATAGGAAAGGGGCGGGGATGCTGGTCGGGAATTTTGAATTAAACCCCTAAAGTAGACCAATTTGGGCATGGCCCAACCCTTTTTTGCGATCATTTTAAACTTTGATCAAATGAATCGAGTAAATAAATCAAACTGAAAATACATAACTTTTTTATATTTCTTCGCTTGCAACCCTAAAAGAGACCTTTACGGCTAAATATAGCGGCGTTTTGAACAGAGCACACTAAGGGAGACCAAAATCCTAAATTTACACCCCTAAGCGAGACGACGAGCATCCCCGCCCCTTTCATAAGGGAGTTCCCCCCCCGGGGGGTGTGTTCAAGTTATTATCGTTTTATTTCTAACAATTTGACCAGTAAGAGAAGAGACATAACCAAGCTAAAATTTCTTTGGCCAGTAAACACCATCAGCAACAGTCCCAAATTTCTTTTCAGCCCAGAAGTTTATAACCAACTAACTGATACAAATGTACACCTGTCAATTCAGATATAAAATCAACCAGTGTTAAATGGGTATTCCACGAGTTCTGCTGTACCTCACAGGTTGTTAAGACTCACCTTTTGATGTAGAGTTGCCTGGGAAATGTTGTTGAATATAAAGTGAACTTTATCCTGGACTGCTTCCGGTGGCTGCACTATCTCACTACTTTCTGTTGCACCCAACAGAGTGTCTATGTTATTTGCAGTGGCAATGGATGGTTCTTTACCCCTTACAGGAGAGGCGGCTACATCTGAAAACAAAGCAGAATAATTGCGTTCGACGTTAGGAGAACGCAACACATAATCATTTTATTCCTGTGGAACTCAGTTGGGATTCCTGTGGTACTCAAGGGTGGCCTTTTAAGGTACTCATTTCGTCGTACGTCTGCATTCTCTGCGCCATCTTGAATAATTTATCTCGTGGGCACAAAAATGTTAAATACAATTAATTTGTCTGCTGTGGTTGCGTGGAGCAATGGAAAATGCGTTGCCTTACACGTCGAGGGTCTCGGGTTCAACTCCTGCCGAGTGACACTCTTTTCTTTTTTTCATAGTCGTTCTGTTTTGTTTTGTTTCGTTTTGTTTCTTTTAAATAAGAAAACATAGGAGGCGTTTTGCAGCATCAACTTATTAAGAAATAACGTCACATTTGACAGTAAACCTAAAAAAAGCTCGAACGCACTCCCTAATCTGAGATTACTAGTAGTAATAGTAACTAGAAAAAATTGTCACGTGTCTCCTAAACCCACACAAAACTCGGTGTACCACTCAAATTAAACCCTGCAGGGCGGGATTACGAATTGGAACAGTGGCCAGCCACACAAATCATGTCATAAGGTATACAAACATCAAAGATGTTGGAAGCTCCCTGGGGTTGCACAAATTGTGACTGAATAAATTAATGCGACATTTTTATTGTAATGTACTGTAGTGTAATGTACTGTAATGTCATGGATAGAGAACTACAAGACGCGTCCTTTTTACATTACATAGTAACATGTTAAAAGTAAGCTCGGACGCCAGCATACAAAGGTGCCAGTGGCAGCCGCTATCAGTCAAGTTGAGAGCTTACTGTAACCCACCCTTAGCCCATGATATGAATGATACGCGATGCGTGAAAGGTAGACCACACCACCGGGGAAACTTCCCCTATTCTTTCGCAGTAGTTTGGGTTCTCTTACATCCCTTTGGATTTGACTAATGAAAGAAGGATGAAGGAGACAAGGCCAATGGCTTAATGTCGCCACCCATAACGCGATTATCTGAACTGAGACAATTTCTCAAATCAGAACCAGCATGATTTCACCAGTTTATTTTGTAATGACCCTGGTTGTTGGACCGGCCGAGGTTTGAACCCACGACCTCCCACTCGGCAGACCGGTGCTCTCCCAACTGAGCTAACCGTTCGGTGGTTTATTGGTTGGTAAGATCAAAATGATGCGGAGGTATTGAATGTTGTGCACCTTCAAATCCACACAAACATAAAAACGAGGTCTGGCAGCCTTCATAGCCCTTCCACCCTCTTTACTACAGTTTAACCAAACAAATAATGCAATTTCTTGTCTGAGACAACTAATCTACAAATGATTGCCAACAACAAAAAGCAACAAAAATACCCTTTGCTCAGACCTACCTGGAACAGTGGTAGTTTTAGCTGAAGATACAACAGTGCTATTAGAAGTTACAGTAGGTGCTGGAGGAATAGAGGAAGCCAGAGGAGCAGATGGCCCCAAGGGGATTGTTGGACCCAGCGGCACGGAGCGACTAGCTGGTGTGCTTGTAAAGGTTGAAGTACCTGCCACACTTGCCAGGGTGGGTGTTGCACGGTTGAGAAGCCGTGATGTCAGTGGTTCCTGGAAAGAGAGCAACACATGATCATAAATTTCAGTAATCTAACCTTGCAAAGATAATTTAGGCAAAGTTGTACTGCCAGCCGCAAATGGTGCTCACACAGGCAAAGCTCATCCCGGGTTTGATCGTACATGACACCTAGAAGTATTGCTGCTCCCCTGGTGTCAAGTTAGTAAAACTTAAATTACAGATGCAATTTACAAGTGCCGGTAGCGATTGTTTTAGAGCCCTAAAACATTAGCTACCCTTGTAAATTACACTTGTAAAGTTTTATTAAATCAACCCCTGGGGTCAATACAATAAAACTTTTACAAGAGTAATTTACAAGTGTAGCCATTGTTTTAGGGTCTGAAAACAATAGCTACACTTGTAAATAACACTTGAAAACGTTTTATTAAATTGACCCCTGGATGGAATGCTATTCCATTGCAAGGGCACCCCTACTGTAGCAGTGTGATTATGATTATGATTATTATCCTTTACTTCTCACATGAATGCACATTAATACTGGAGCTCTTGTCATAAATTGTTCTCTCTATAAAGTCAATGACCGCAGACAGAAAACACCTTTCACAGGATATTAGCTCTACCAAGCAGTGCTGTATTATTATCATTATTATCATTATTACTATTATTATTATTATTATCATTATTATTATTATTATTATTATTATTATTATTATTATTATTATTTCTATTATTATTATTAGAGACTTTTAGTTCAATCTCTACCAATGAATTTTCTGGTTGTGGAATAAACTCAATGAAAATGTTTATCTTGTTAACCTGAATATTTCTTCCTGCTAACAACGGCTCCCTGGACTGTTGTCCATATTCAATGAACTCTATCAAGGAAGGTGGAAACTCCATGAAATGTGGAATTGATGCAAGATGCTGACAGTAGTGAGGATAGTCTTTAAGCCTACAAAAGAATAAATAATTGTTGTTCTCCATGCTGAACCACAGTGTAATTACCAGCAAGTAAAACCCAACTCTGTCATATTTACATGTTTAATGCCAAAACCAATTTCTATTCGTGAGCCCTAAGAATATTTGCGCCAGGAATCATTATTTCGACTCCGGAGAAATGTTCAGCAGAACTTTAATTCCTTTAGACAAAAAATTCACAAAACCATTAGAATCCTATGAAAGGAAACAGAATCAATAATGTTGCAGTCTTGTGACATAAAGTCTCTAGGACATGAAACTTGTGAATAGATTTTTTTTCACTAGTGTTCAGTAGTAACAGTATTGCTATAAACTCCCCTAGACAGCAGTTCTTTTAGAAGTATGTGCTGTAAAGTACTATAATTATTTAACATGTAGTACGGGGCGTTTCCACACTCAAAAAAAGGGTAATCCTTGGCAAATCACTAACAGGGTTATCATACCTATGGCAGATCAAAAAAGTAATGAGTGAAACAAGTATGAAAATGCATCCCACATTTACTAGCAGTTTAAAGTTTGCACAGCAAGCATGCAGTATTCTTCTCTTCAGATATTAGTGTCAATTAAAAGCGAAAAGAACAAGAAGTTCCAAATGCCCCTGGATCACTCGGACAAAAACTAAGCCATCGGAGAATGAAACAGCTATTTTCCTCAACGATTACCCCCTCGCATTGTTACAGCTCTTACAGTAAAATGAATTTACCTTGTCTTGAAACGATCCAAAGCAGCTATTCCAAACATATACATCTTAGAGCCAAATGGTTTTCTCAAAGCCTCTAGTACATAGCGCAGTGCAATTCCAAGAGCCATATACCTGAAATAAAAAATACACGATGTTTTGGTTCAAGCAGCAAAAAATGCCATATCTCAAGACACAGAGTCTCATTTAGGGCAGGAATTCATGACTTTAGGAGGCACTTTGTGCCAAAAAAAATTGAGAGTGGAGGCAAATTTTAAAGCTTTAGTTGCCACAGCAGTGCTTCAAGGTAAACTTTTTTAAAAGTTGACAGACTTTAAAGATTGGTGCACAGGAAAAGGGCAATTTGTTCAATTACATGAAGGGTTTGAAAAAACGAAAATGCAATCAAATTTGTAGGAACACAAAACATCTCAGGGCTTTAAACCCCGACAAACAGAGTACATTGATGAATTGTAGCCCAAATAAAATTCATGTAAAACATTTTTATCCCACTTTAGTTTACATTAAAAAGACCATATTACAATAAACACTCCCGCTTGGCACATGACTGCTGAGCACAGTTTGCCAAATTAGTGACTATTGCTGTAATTTTCAAAAGTTTTGTTCACTTGCAAGCCTAAGGATTTCACGAAAACGATCATTTCTGGTACTGAATAGCTACTGTCTTGGAACTGAAAAATAGTTTCCCAGTGATATTTTTTGCCTTAGGGATCAATTTACAGAAATTCACTACCTTTTGCACTCAGATTCTTATCTAGTAGAGCAATTCTTTAGTTATGACTTGGCTTATACACGAAACTAAAACATTGACTTGCCATGGAAAGCAGTTGTCAGTGCTGAAAATTTAGGTGCATCAATGACTGTAGTAGGCATAGTTCCATTTGGAAGCATTTCAAAAAGAAAAAGAATTGAGTCCACAAAACAGCCTTAGTAAGAGTAAAGAAAGAAATCAGAAAAAAAAAGCACTGCTACACGTAGTTTCAAAATATTTTACCAAAATATCATACAACTTACGTTACTAAACCTTGCTCAATAATTCCACCAAACAGGCACGCAGTTGTGTGAAGTTCTTTGTCTGGATATTGTGGAAAAAACCTGTACTCTTCAAACAGGTTTCTAAGCATGCACAAAAATATGTCCTGTAAAAAGAAAAGTGAAAATAATTGTGAGTATGATATGTTACATGTATGTTGAGTAATGGGATAGGATAGGAAATTAACATGTGAAAATACAACACGAAACCCACTTAGGAGACTCTGTGATACAAAGGAACCCCAACAAAAGCCACCAGAATAATAACACATTCTCTTACATCCAAAAACAACGTATTGCACTTAGCCTCGCTTTGAAACAGAGGCTTGAGGCGACTCAGAAATGGCCTATTGGAGACCTTAAGATCTAAGGATGAGGAAGACTTTGAGGATGAGATTTGATTTGAAATTTTTTCAAATATTCTCTAAAAACAGACACCCTGGATAGCTTCATTTTACTTTTTTCACCAGAAAAGTAAACACAGTTATTTTTATTGAAGGAGGTCGAGCTCTCTTCTGATTGCAAAATGATACAACTACTAAAATTTCATAGCTTGCTATCTGCTATAACGTTTTCCAGTCCAAAATAAGGCTGGTTCATGCATGCAAAATACTGGTATTGAGAAAATCTTGCTCTTGTAGTCATCCTCGCCTTAGAATCTAAAGATATCTATTACAGTAAGGAGCCCAAATGTGTGACCTCCTCTACCGCAATTAATTCACATTCTTTCATGCAGACATTAACCAATCAGAAGTCGAGTACAGTTTCCAGCTGGCTTCTGATTGGATTAAATCTGTATGAAAGAATATGAATAAATTAAAAGCGGTCGCACTCTTGGGCTCCTGGCTGTATTAAAATGATAAGGAAATCTTGTGCTTACCCTTTCCTTTTTAACAGGTGAATCTTTAAACTTCTTAAGCATTTCCAGCACCTCATCAATACTGATTGTAGGATTGGGAGGATGATTGTAAATCCTTTGGAAGTACGAATTAGCCTCATCTTCAACTTCCTTTGTAAATGACTGATCCATCCCTGGCCATACTTGAGATACATCAGCTGTTGATGCTGACAACAACAGAAGAAGAAACTCAGCTTTTTCAGTTTATAGAGAACACTTTATCACAATTCAAGGACGTCATCATGTATGTAGCATTATAGACTACAAGCTAAGATTTCTGTGCCTATGGTAATAAAACTATATTTTAAAAAGCATTTGTAGTCGTGTTGAGTTTAGTGGACGAAACATTTCAGTAATAACCCCTGTATCATCGCTACGACATAATGCATGTCCCTTGAGCCATTAAAGCCACAGTCAAATATTATTGTGAGCATGCATCTTGTGTCTGAGTTGCACAGACTTAACTTGTTGAGGTCTGAGATTATAACAATATCTGCCAATGACAGTTGAAGGGGTTATTCCAGAAACATAGGCAAGAATGCTTACCATTTGTCAGAACTTACTAATTTCAAGAAAAGACCAAAATTTAATTTGCCAATATGACCTGTCCCGCTGGCCAGTTCCAACTTTTGGTAAGCGCCCAAAGTTTTTTCACTGAATACAAAGGCTGTGACAGTAAAAAATACCTGTGCGTAACTTTTCAGCTTGGTTTCTAGACTGGGACAAAAGTGCACTTTGCTGCTGCTGTTGCTGCAACAGAGAACTGCCTCCCAGCTGCTTCTGGATTCCAAGACCAGCCAACAAACGAGCATTATCCATTGCAGCTCCACCCATGGGCTGCCCTAAACTGCCTGCCTGGTGAAGTTGCTGTAGCAAGGGGTTCTGCGACGAGCTGAAACTTGGCGAATGAAGACCTGAACTTGATGAGGCTGGGGTACTAAGGGGAAGTTGCCCGAGTTGTGACAGTGGCTTCTGTATGGCCTGTGAAGATAGACCTGAACCTATACTGCCAACAGCTCCAAGACTGCCTGAGGATCCTAGTACATTGCCAGTTAGGGGGTGTGGTGGGAATGAGGGCAGCTGTGAGGTAGGTGTGGCTGGGGTTGTTGGGAGGGATGATGAAGGCATGCTGAGCCCGGTAAGTGGATCAAGCTAAAAGAAAGAACATCAATTCTATTAAAAAGATATAATATATGCAATAACCTACCCTATAACCTACCACCAATATTCTACTCTCAGAATTCAACCATATAACCTGCACTTTATGACAGGATATCTAAGCAAGAACTGAGTTGGGCTCCTGCTTGTTACCCATGTAGTTTTCACTCAGGCTGGTTGAGCTTTAAGGGTTAAAGGAGCTAAAATATGTCATAAAAAATGGCCAATCCCTGCACTAAACTGAACAAGAACAATAATACCAACTTACAACATGAAAGGAGCAATAAATTAATAGAGCAAATACAAAAGAAGGAACAGCACCAGTTACATTATTTTTTGAAAAGTGCTGTAACAATAATTGGCAAAATTAAAACAAAATCAACTCATCTTCTATGACCCAGCCCCTTTAAGTGTCAAAAAAGAAAATTTCTAAGAGCCCAGAAGTCTAATTTTCACCTAAAAAACTCTGAAACTCAACTTTAAATCTCAAAGCAAAAACAAAGGTTAGATAGATTTAGTTCTACCAAAATAAATGTTAACAACCTGGGAAGACAGACTTGATGGTAGCTGTCCTCCATCCAAACTTCCCTGTCTCTTGAATGGAATCCCTACCACAGCAGCACTTGGCCGAGCTTTCACCAGAGGACCATGATTTGTTATCATTTGGGTGATGATTTCAGCCAACTCAGGAGATGCTTGGCTGCATTGTCAAAAAAAAATTGATTTTGCATTGCTTTACTCATACATGTAATGCTGTCCAATAAGGGACATCATCATTTTTTTCAAATTTCCCCTTTGTTAGAGTTTAAGGTAGAAGGAGAACTCTACCTGACCTGGCAAATGAGACAGGAATTTTCAATTTTTCCAGTTTCATAAAGAATAGCTATCAGCTAGGGAAGTCTGACAATTTGCTTATTACACATACACAAGCAAGAAGCAACCGCCTTGTATCTCTAGCTTGCAGCTAAAAGGTATAAGGTTCTTTTTTTTCTTTTTTTTTCTTGACAGTTTTCTTTGTACGTAAGTTTGTTCATAGGGGTTCTTGTCTTCTTTTCATTTTTCTGCATGCTACGTCATTCCACTATGCTCTTATTGTGTTCTAGTTTTCATTAGATATTTCCATTGTATGGTGTTAGTCTTGTCTTGTCTTTCTTCCAAAGTCATCAATGTTTCTCAAAGAATTCTCTGAGTTCTTTGAAACCGGAAACAAACCCAACACAACTCCACCACCCAACATCAGCACATGTAGGTTCTCAAAGGCTTGCATGGCAATGATTCATTCCCTCAAATTCTGAGCTCCTTTTCATCACTATTTTAAACGCCGACCATTTAAGAGCAAGTTACTGGCTATACCATAAGCATAAGGACACCACAGTGGCAGACCGAAGGGTCTAATTTACATGTAACCCTATTAAGGAGGTAGGATTGTACAAAGTATGTTATCTTTGGGAGCACATAAATTACCCATGATAAGCAGATATTCAACTGTATAAAAGAGTCCTATTTATCCTCACCCCAAGAAAGACTGAAGACAAGACAACACAGTAACAACTGTCTCCTGTGGTAGCTGAACACTCTTTGGTAACTCCTTATCCAAGGACACACCCAGCAGATGGGGGCAGCGTCGCCTAAGGAATGAGACGCAAGCTTGGGCAAACTCCTCCTGAAAATGAAAATAATTATACTTTATAAATAGTTGCCACAGCCAGAGGTTTCGGAAATTCCCCGACGTTTTCCTGACAAAGGTAACATTTCCCTGATCAACTGAATTAACCATTTCACAAATTAGCTGTGATAATGAACTCAACTTTTCCCCTCAAAGCCATCCTCTCCACCCATTTATTCATGCTCTCATTAAGTCATGTGCAGTGTACATGATTTGATAGTTCCTCAAACATTTAAGCCTCAATATCCACAAACAAATTCTCCCAACTGATCCCCTTACATTTCCTTACAGAATAGGTTGAGAGAATTTGTTCAAAGATCAATGCATTTTCCCTTAGTTCATCATTATTTTTATTTATTCTCATAAACTTTTCTTTTAATTAGGTATTTATATTGTCAGGACAAAATTGGCATTGGTTCAAAACTTGCAAACAGGATTGAATTTCTTGAAAACCTAACATCAGCTTGTTGTTCAATTTCACACACAATATTCTGCCAATACAACATGATTCATGTCTGCAAAATGTCCAAAAGAATTTTAAATCTTAGAAAACACTAAAAGTAGAGGGAAAAGAAAAAAAAATTATGTACTCTTAAAATTTGCCTTTTCACTGACTTCATTCAAATTTTCCCAGACATAAAGTGAAATTCCCTGACTTTTTCCTGACCTTGAAGAATTATTATTTTCTCCCTAACCATTTCCTGACCTGTGGTAACCATAATAGTATTGCTCAAGTTCACCTTTGTGTTTATCACAAAGTTGTGTAAGAAGGAGGTTACCTGGTGTTCTTTAAGCTTGTCTCTTAACCATTTGTCCAGTTTAAGATATTCTCGGCGTGATGCCAGGGCAGCAAGATCAATGACAAACACAAATGGAGAACCATTCAACAGCATTGATAATGCCTACAGAAAAAACAAGAAAGACAAGTTAAATAAAATGACTCAGCCGTTTAAAGGCTGATCTTTGGCCTTTGAGATTGAAAGACAAGTTCAAACTGTTGATAGACAACAATGGTGTCATTGAAAGAGTATTTTCTACTATTGTACTGAGGGAGTTTTTGTGGTATCAGTGTGTGGCTTCTTATAAAATTTCTTGAGGTAACAAAAGCACTGAAACAAGAGGCTTTGTTCTTCAGTAAAGTGAAAAAATGAAGACACTATCTTGTACAAATTATTTGCAACAGTTTTCAAGAAAATTAATTTACAATTTGTGTAGTTAAGTGAGCAAAAACAATGGTAAGCTCCTAGATATTGCTGATTGTTACCTTGAGGTCTTGAGCTACATCCAATATTCTTGATAGGCGTCCCTGGTCCATGTCACCTTTAACATACCACTCAGCCATCGCCTGCATCACCAGCTGACGAATTGATGCTGACTGACCCTGTGTGAAGTGAAAATACAACAGTTACTGAGATGATTTTTTTACCTCATACAACAAGGAAAGACAATATTAGGTGATAATTGCAAAACAATTAATTTCAATGTGATCGCTAAGATTTTGTTCAGCAATTGCAGTGATTGTTTGATGGCAACAAATGCCAGGCAATTGCAGTAATGGTGAGAAAGCCTTCACTCCTAGCATAAGGCTGGTCTCCATCTCAATAAATAATCAAATTAGATCACTGAACACTTTTCAGTTTTGTAACGAGGTCTAATAATCTGTACTACTGTGATCAGGGTAAGGGGTGGGGCATTGGAGCCTGATGAAATACAAAAATATATAAAATGATGACCCCCACTTAATTCATTGAAAACTGAGAACCACAGACTTCAAAGATCAAAATGGGTACATTCTTAAATGTCATTCTGGTTGTCAAAAAACATATCAATATTTTATATCCTTGAAACTGATTCAAAATTATGCACTATTTGTACCTTTTCAAAATGAAACACAAAACAATAGTAATATTGGAAAAAAAAAAACAGCAACAAACAAAGTGACACATTTGCAAAAGGAAAACAAAACTGTGCAGGAAACTAAAACAAAAAGTTGCATAAAATTCCTAGAGCAAAAACTGAAAAACCAGTACTTCAAAAGCTTTTAATTTGTTAAAGGGATTGTCAAACCAATAAATACACAAAGTTGGTGAAAAAAATGAAAGACGTCACCAATAAAACCGGCAGCTTGGTTGGTAAGGTTTAAAATGTACAGAATAAAATACTGACCTGTCCATGCCATACATAATGCAGTACACTGCCTGAGTTAGGATGGTTAGCGAGAAACACAGGGATTAGCTGTGATACTAACTCATTGCGCAGGGAATGCCAGAGAGGCTGCAATAAAGCACATCATTATAATTATACCACTTACTAACCAAGAGAGAGGTCATCAAAGGGAAATCTCAGACCGAGGCCTTGATGTATTGACCAAGGGATATCGAGGTCAATACATCAAGGCCGAGGTCTGAGATTTGCCTGTAATGACTGAACGGATGAGCTAAATAAATTATTTATCATACGGCCTTTTCTTTATGTACCTGAGCCTGCGATCAATTAAAACCAATAACTGGTCAGTGGATAACTTTAAAAAACACGTCACCTCAATGAGTTGTACACTTGAGCCCCCAATACAGTCATGTAACACTGGTCAGTAGACACCCTTTCTTGACAGCTGTCAATTGACCAATTAACATGGAAGTCCATAAGGATGTCCACTATCAAGTTAAACACAGATTGTATATGCCTTGAACACCTAGCTAGTAATGCCCAGTCATTAAAAGAAAATAATGCCCGCTTAGCAGCCAATCAGAGTGCGCATACTATTGTAGCCATATAATAAAAAGTGTAACCAGATATAATCATATATAAATCAAGAAAATACTGGAGGTATAGAACAACTTCTTTCCAAGGTGGGCTGTCATAGTGTTTGCCCGGTCTGCAATAGCAGCGTTTGTAATTTCAAGATCACTCTACACTCAGGCATAGGTTACTATTTTTAAGGCAACAAAACTTTCTAATTAAAGAGGGGTGAATAATATCCTGATCTTTGTCTATGTTAACAGTATAAAAGAAAATTTCTTAAAGATCACTAATACATATACATGATTGTAGGACACTTTTTGGAGGCAAAATACTTTCAAAATTAGAATAGGAGCTGGGAGGAATAACAAGTCATTCTGATCCTTGTTAACGATGAAAAAAAGGACAATATAATTATTATTACGGTTACACAAGGTAAAAAACCCAAATAACTGTATGCTGATGTTTTGAATAGAGAAAATCCAGTGAGGACCCAGAAGCCACCCAGATTTCTAATGTTTTCTCCATTAACTTCTCTCAGGACATGTGTAGGCATACAGACGTAACAGGTAGTTTAAGATGTCATGACGGCAACGGCAAGAGGAACGTCAAAAAAGAAATAAGTTTTATTTGGCAAAACAACAACTCTGCACATGTGTTACACTTTTTGGTACATTTCTTTGCCATCACTGCATGACTACGATGTGAAATTAGCTAATTTGATGTATTGTCTAGGAGGTAAACACATAATAGCGACTTTTTCTTTCTCTTTCTGAAATTGAACGAGGTCGTTACAAACCCATCACCCAGAGAATTCACCAGCAGTTGACGAATTATGTAAGTTGCAATAATCGCAATAAAGTGACAATTAGGGCAAATCCATTTACAAATGACATTTTTGCTGCCATCGCCATTGTAAAATCTTAAACTACCTCATAACACATGCTACATACATTAATCTGCAGCAAAGCAAGTAGCAAAACATCTGGACAATGCTTCATTGGAAAACTGAACAAGGATTTGACTGTCTCGTAGTGACCTGCTTCTGCCAAACGCAACAATGTTTCGGACAAGTTCAGGGATTTCCTACAATGGAATTGATGATATTAAAATCATTTCATGGACAACCTGAGCAGAGCAAACTGATACAAACCAAGATCAATATCAAAGAAAACAAAAGAACCTTAACCAGCAGTAGCATAAAATTAATGTACTTGCATGGATATCATTATCAAAACACTTGTTCATGCTGCTATTGTTAATGTTTGATCCTTATGCTGTATGCTAATTTTTAGATCACTTGCTGTTTAGGATGCTTATTTTTGAAGTAAACTTTGTTGTTTTGTGATGTTTTGTTGTTTGAAATGAGTCCCATAGGATGCAAAGAACGATCAATTGAAGATTTTGGTTGAATATCCTGTTTGTGTAATTTCTGTGGCTGTTGTTTAAAAACGCATATTTATTTTTGTCCTTTTTGTGCTTTTAATACATGAAGGAAAATTATTTCAATTTCAGTAAACTGTAATAAAAAGTTTTGGTGTCTGTCTCCAGAAAAGCTGTCTGGTTACATAAAGCATTTTCAATTTAGGACTTGCTGTATATTTGAACTGGGACTCACTGGTTATGGAGAGGGACTCATGATTTTTCACAAGATGAGTCCCAGGACTCACCATAACTATTTGTAACAAAATCACTGCAAAGTGTATGTCTTACAAAGATGTCTTCTTTACAGATAGTCAAATAGAAGGAGTAAAGAAAGACAGGGGCCAACTCTAGGTGTACGTTAAGAGAGACTCAACACATTTTGAAGCCAACAAATTGAAATCTTATTGACAGCCCTGGAAACCAGGCCTTGAGATTGTGCCTACAAAACAGCCATAAACAGACATGTTTAATAGTTACCATGTAGATATTTCTCTATTATCATCTTCTGGTACAGTTTTGAGCAGATCTATCACTACCGTGTGACAAGGATAATCAGCAAAACAGAAAATACCAGGATTGGACAGGATCTGCTGGATCCAGGACAGCTGGAATAAAGAACAAACATCTTTGACTCATATTTGATGGAAAGTGATACTTTTAAGATCAGGGTTCCTACAATCATGGGATGCAAAATTTAAGACAATTTCCAGTCTTTTTCCAAAACTATTTCTTTTTCCAGACTCCAGGCTATCAAATAAGCAATTGATGGAAACCTCCCAAAAAAAAAAGACAGAAACAAAGCTTTTTCCATGATACACTGCAAACATACAAGAATCAATATACAATAGAGACACAAAAGAGTTCTAAACTAAAAGTTCTCATTCTGCAATAATTGAGTGTTAAATTCAATGAATGTTATTGTAGATTCTGTAGAATCTTGCTACAGGTAAAATTAAATAAGATTTGACTGATGGAAAGAATTTCCAGAATTTTTTGGTGGATAGCTGAAGAAGGGTACTGGAGATTTAAGCAAAATTATGAATTGTATTACAGGAACAGGGGAAAGATAAAGGAAAAGTTGAAAAAGTAACAAACAAAAGGCAAAATATTACCTGTCCCTCTGTGTTGGTCCATGATCTATACAAAACATCTACTGGGAATATCTCCATCAACCCTCTGTGGCAAGCAGTAAACAGTAGCTGCAGACCTTCACGGCTTGGAACGTTGAATTCAGGGTAGTCTAGTTCCTGGATCACCTGACGCCAACTTAGCAATGGAATCTTTACAATAAAATACAGAGGATCAATATTACATTAGTCTCATGACTAAACAGTTCTTACTCCAAATGTTTTAAAAATTTCAGAATTTACAAGGGGTTGGATGGAAAACCACCCAAGCATGAATGGGTGACAAGAGTTGTTTTTCTCATACAAATCCTTCTAATTTCCGGCGGCCATTACAATCGCTACTTTTGAGATATATGGCTGAAAATTTACAGGCCACCAAATTGGAATATGCTCTTTCAGCTTGTGCTAACAAAAGTTTTCAAAAGTGAACTGTTTTTGTGTTTACCGAAAGTTGATCACATGATCAACTAACGCAAAAGGCCTATTTCCATAGCAAATAAGGATGCGTAACTGGATTTATTCACAGAATGAGCTAGACAGCTGTGACATGGTCCCTTGAAGTTCTTAATAAATAACAAGGATGGCACAGAAAGCTGGCACTCACCACATGATTATGGAGTGCCAGGTCTGGTCAATTTAGCACCCTATCATTAGTTACTGATCTAAACCTTCTGCAGTTAATATGTTGAAATAGTCAATTGCATACCATTTCTTTGAGAGCCTGGACAAACACTTCAACATTCCATGAAGCAGGGCCAGGGGTCAGTTCACTGAGACCCAGTTTGTCCAAAGAAACTGAGCTGCTGCCATAGTTCTGGAAAATAATGACACATAAAAACTAATCAATTATGAAATGAAAAAGTGATAAGGAGAGTGATTTCAGTTATTCATTTGCAATGAAGGGGACATTAATACTAAAACCACACTGCCTTTCAGCATCCTCTGCTAAGAACCACACAGATGATAGAAGTAACGCAGGTGGCATAACAGAGAAGAATATGATACACTGAGCTTTCTTAGAGTTTGATTTCCAGCTATGTGTAATGCCAGAGACCCTTTTTTCCCAGGGTTCCCATCAACGGCTGGCTTCCCTGGTTTCCTTCAGCATTACCCCTGGCTACTTTCATAGAAAACGAAAGGAAGATATTATCAAAAGAACCTCTTAGATTAGAATTGCACAAAACACACCCAAGGATGAACATTGTCCCTGCTGTCTTTCAGTCCTTTTTATTGACTCTGTATAAGCCAACATACCAATTATCCTTGGTTTCAACGGAGTCTAACCTACAGAGACCTTATGTACTAATTACATCATTTTTACCTGTATAGTGACATGTTCAGGGAGTCCATAAACAGTCTTAACCATCATTCCTAACAGAAAGACAGAGCAAAACAACATTAGTAGTTATTGATTTGACACGTATATGTACAAAATAAATGTTAAACCATTAACCTTTTAAGTCCCAATAATGGTGACCAACATCAATTGTCTCCTAATGATATCCATACATCATCAAGAGAAAAAGTTATCAGAATTAATAAAATGGTCACCAAGAGAAAATGCCTTGATCTTTTATCAAATTCTCTCAACACATTTTTTAAGAAAATGTATAGAGATCAGTTTGGAGAATTTGTATGTGGATATTGGGGCTTAAAGGATTACATACAAATGAATTTCCTCACCAACAACCCTGGCCACAGCAGCTGGGGTGATATCTTGAACACCAAACTGGATCAAAGTATCTTTACATTCATCAACACTGGAACAAGAAAAGAAATTTACATCACCCGGCCTGAACATACCCCTGTTATATACAATGTTCAAAAAACTCTCCCTCAAACCTTTTCCTATGATACAGTTTAGTACTAAACAAAAGTTCTGCCCAAGAGATTTTATTTGAATGGTAACAACACAGGGTTTCACCTACAGATTTTAATGTTGAGGGTGATGCATACATTGTATACTCTCACAATTACTTGGCCTGGGAGTGAAAGGGTCAATGGGTACCTCTATGATTTAGATAGAGACCTAAGGCCAGTACAGCTGCAGTCTCTAATCTTGCGCTAAACTGGCTTTGTTTATGAGATTTGGCACATTTTTTATGACAAAAGCAAATTAAAAAGCAAGATAAGATGAAATGTTTGTTTTAACTTTAAATCTAAATCATAGAGAAGTCTGGCGACCATGTCAGTCGCAATTTGGAGCCCTGCTTTTTCTACTTAAGGCACTTGGAAAGAAGGGAGGAACTGTGGTTTTTAAACCACAACGATAATGAAGACCATAAATAGAAGAATAATGACTGTCTGAGGTTGATGTTCATTCTTTGTTATGGCATTTACATTAATATTAAAAAACAAACTCATTTCCATGTTATGACAGCAATATGATAGCAATCATTATCCGATTATTGCATTGCTGCCTTAAATTTTTTCTTTTGTTTCACAACTGGAAACTACTGGCAGTTTAGTTTTCATATTCCTTTGTCTCTGAAATGCATCATCATAATATCTGACAAAAGGGAAAACACAAATCAAACAAAACTAAACAACACTAATCATAACATTACAGTTTGATCATAATGAGACAAAAGAAAAATATACCTTGAACAACACGAATAGCCTATTTCTTTCATAAGGTCAGCTAAGTCATCCTCCATCTAAAAGGCAAAGAATATTCTATGACTATATGCACAACAGCATCACTAACTACTACATGTACTGTAAGAAATGAAATGCTTTGTAGTATTAAAAGCCCCAGAACAGAAAATCTAACTGCCCATATACCACATATTAAAGAAGTTTGTTGGCACATGTTACACTAACCACTTGGTCAGCAAGTCCTGTCATCATCTCTACAAAAAGTCACTGGTTAAATTATATATTGCTGCTTGAAGGGATGTTATTGCATGAACTAGTCAAAAGGTCTTTTCCACATTGTTTAAATTTCAACTTCCTGGTTTCTCTTTCCTATGTTCAGAAACCAAAATGTCTCCTGAAGTATTCACTTTCCTGATTTAGAATTTCAAAATTTTAAGCCAACAGCAAAATACAATGGTTCAAAAGTAGACTTACCACTATCTTGGACAGATTTAAAGGTTCAGGAATGAGGCTGCAAAAAAAGTCAAAAACCTATTAATAAGAATTTGAAGACTGCCAATAAACAATAGACAATAAATATACAGTAGACCCCTGGTAACTCAAAATCTGAAGGGAGACAAAAAACAGTTCAAGTTAGCAAGGGTTCAAGTTATTGGTCTCAATTCCAAAATGTAAAAATTGATAGTAACTGATTTTGCAAATCTAACTTATTTCATCAGAAACGGTAAAATGATTAACCATAAAGATTTTAAGTGATAAAAAGGGATCTGTTCGTTGCACCAATTAAAATCAAATTGTTGTAGTGCTGACTAGAGTTAGTTTTAGTGTTTTTACAGTTATACATCAAGAAGAACTAATCAGATGGCATCTGAAGGAAGGGGAAAGGAAAATCAAATTTAGTTTGAGTTAGCGGGGAATTAGCGTTATCTGAGTTCGACTTGTCAGGGTTCTACTGTAAATAAATATGACAATACAAGTTTCTTTAATAATTGTTCAGACTTGTTAGGACAGTACACCTATCAAGATGATCAGTGATACACATTTGAAATACTGCTGAATTATGCCACAGTAACAAGTTTTTGTCACACTGAGTTTACAATACACCTTGCTGGCCCCCCCCCCCCTCCGACAGACAAGGTGTATTATGGGAGATGTGAAAATGGCAAATAGAGAATTTATTTAGTAGAATAGAAGGTGTATTATGGGAGATGTGAAAATGGCAAATAGAGAATTTATTTAGTAGAATAGAAATATTTTACTTTTCTGGTGATATATCTTGTGATTCAGGGTAAAGAAGTGGAGCAAGAACAACTGGTGCTCTTTCTTTGGGAAAATCTGCAGTAAAGATAACAACCAGCATCAGCAAAACAATCACACTGTGTCAATAACTATTCAGTGTACAAATTAAACTAAGGGTCCATTTCATTAACCTTAATCTAGAATAGAAATACAATGAGTAATAGGAAAAATCTGTTCTGCTGAATATACTCCAAGAGAAAAGGTGGAAAAATCCTGGCAGCTAAGTTCAACAGCTAACCACAGATGAGGAATATAGGTTATAGGGTCAAGTGACGAGGAATTTGGCTTTTGAGCTTCTAATAAAAGTGCTTTTCTTAACAAGAAAAACAACTTTGCATACACTGCAGTCGTGTCTTCATAATATGCCAAGGTTCCTGTTATTATACATATAGAGACAGTTAGAGAAAGTTTGGCATCTAGACCTGTGGGAATGGAAACTTTAACACCCTTTATGCCCACAAAGAGATCAGAAGCAAACTTCTCCTTGTGATATCAAAATGCTTTAAGAAACAGATCGGAGAAAGGAATTAAGGAAAAGACCACACAAGATGAATCTGGTTGATATTTCAACAACTTCTTCCCACTACTTCGAAAAGAAACATAATTATGGGGAAAACAAATGAGACTTTGAATTTTGACATTAGGGTTAAAAGGGTCAACAGCTGGTACAACAAACCTTTCTTCAATGTTTCCAGGAAGGCTGTTACTTGGTCATCCCCAACTCCAACCTGTTCCCTTGGGCCATGGATCACATGGGATAAAAGACGATGTAAAACTTCTATGCCAACATCAGTTTTTATTTATTCTCATAAACTTTTCTTTTAATTAGGTATTTATATTGTCAGGACAAAATTGGCATTGGTTCAAAACTTGCAAACAGGATTGAATTTCTTGAAAACCTAACATCAGCTTGTTGTTCAATTTCATACACAATATTCTACCAAAACAACGTGATTCATATCTGTAAAATGTCAAAAAGAATTTTAACTTTTAGAAAACAATAAAAGTAGACGGAAAAGATAATAATATGTAATCTTAAAATTTCCCTTTCCACTGACTTCTTTCAAAGACTAAAATTTTCCCTGACACAAAGTGAAATTCCCCAACTTTTTCCTGACCTTGAAGAAATTATTTTCTCCCTGACCTGTGGTAACCACATTACAGTATTGCTCAAGTTCACCTTTGCGTTAATCACAAAGTTGTGTAAGAAGGAGGTTACCTGGTGTTCCTTAAGCTTGTCTCTTAACCATTTGTCCAGTTTAAGATATTCTCGGCGTGACGCCAGGGCAGCAAGATCAATGACAAACACAAATGGAGAACCATTCAACAGCATTGACAATGCCTACAGAAAAAACAAGAAAGACAAGTTAAATAAAATGACTCAGCTGTTTAAAGGCTGATCTTTGGACTTTGAGATTGAAAGACAAGTTCAAACTGTTGATAGACAACAATAGTGTCATTGAAAGAGCATTTTCTACTATTGTACTGAGGGAGTTATTGTGGTATCAGTGTGTGGCTGCTTATAAAATTTCTTGAGGTAACAAAAGCACTGAAACAAGAGGCCTTGTTCTTCAGTAAAGTGAAAAAATGAAGACACTATCTTGCACAAATTATTTGCAACAGTTTTCAAGAAAATTAATTTACAATTTGCACAGTTAAGTGAGCAAAAACAATGGTAAGCTCCTAGATATTGCTGATTGTTACCTTGAGGTCTTGAGCTACATCCAATATTCTTGATAGACGTCCCTGGTCCATGTCACCTTTAACATACCACTCAGCCATCGCCTGCATCACCAGCTGACGAATTGATGCTGACTGACCCTGTGTGAAGTGAAAATAGAACAGTTACTGAGATGATTTTTTTACCTCATACAACAAGGAAAGACAATATTAGGTGATAATTGCAAAACAATTAATTTCAATGTGATCGCTAAGATTTTGTTCAGCAATTGCAGTGATTGTTTGATGGCATGTGTCTGAGTTGCACAGACTTAACTTGTTGAGGTCTGAGATTATAACAATATCTGCCAATGACAGTTGAAGGGGTTATTCCAGAAACATAGGCAAGAATGCTTACCATTTGTCAGAACTTACTAATTTCAAGAAAAGACCAAAATTTAATTTGCCAATATGACCTGTCCCGCTGGCCAGTTCCAACTTTTGGTAAGCCCCCAAAGTTTTTTCACTGAATACAAAGGCTGCGACAGTAAAAATTACCTGTGCGTAACTTTTCAGCTTGGTTTCTAGACTGGGACAAAAGTGCACTTTGCTGCTGCTGTTGCTGCAACAGAGAACTGCCTCCCAGCTGCTTCTGGATTCCAAGACCAGCCAACAAACGAGCATTATCCATTGCAGCTCCACCCATGGGCTGCCCTAAACTGCCTGCCTGGTGAAGTTGCTGTAGCAAGGGGTTCTGCGACGAGCTGAAACTTGGCGAATGAAGACCTGAACTTGATGAGGCTGGGGTACTAAGGGGAAGTTGCCCGAGTTGTGACAGTGGCTTCTGTATGGCCTGTGAAGATAGACCTGAACCTATACTGCCAACAGCTCCAAGACTGCCTGAGGATCCTAGTACATTGCCAGTTAGGGGGTGTGGTGGGAATGAGGGCAGCTGTGAGGTAGGTGTGGCTGGGGTTGTTGGGAGGGATGATGAAGGCATGCTGAGCCCGGTAAGTGGATCAAGCTAAAAGAAAGAACATCAATTCTATTAAAAAGATATAATATATGCAATAACCTACCCTATAACCTACCACCAATATTCTACTCTCAGAATTCAACCATATAACCTGCACTTTATGACAGGATATCTAAGCAAGAACTGAGTTGGGCTCCTGCTTGTTACCCATGTAGTTTTCACTCAGGCTGGTTGAGCTTTAAGGGTTAAAGGAGCTAAAATATGTCATAAAAAATGGCCAATCCCTGCACTAAACTGAACAAGAACAATAATACCAACTTACAACATGAAAGGAGCAATAAATTAATAGAGCAAATACAAAAGAAGGAACAGCACCAGTTACATTATTTTTTGAAAAGTGCTGTAACAATAATTGGCAAAATTAAAACAAAATCAACTCATCTTCTATGACCCAGCCCCTTTAAGTGTCAAAAAAGAAAATTTCTAAGAGCCCAGAAGTCTAATTTTCACCTAAAAAACTCTGAAACTCAACTTTAAATCTCAAAGCAAAAACAAAGGTTAGATAGATTTAGTTCTACCAAAATAAATGTTAACAACCTGGGAAGACAGACTTGATGGTAGCTGTCCTCCATCCAAACTTCCCTGTCTCTTGAATGGAATCCCTACCACAGCAGCACTTGGCCGAGCTTTCACCAGAGGACCATGATTTGTTATCATTTGGGTGATGATTTCAGCCAACTCAGGAGATGCTTGGCTGCATTGTCAAAAAAAAATTGATTTTGCATTGCTTTACTCATACATGTAATGCTGTCCAATAAGGGACATCATTATTTTTTTCAAATTTCCTCTATGTTAGAGTTCAAGGTAGAAGGAGAACTCTACCTGACCTGGCAAATGAGACAGGAATTTTCAATTTTTCCAGTTTCATAAAGAATAGCTATCAGCTAGGGAAGTCTGACAATTTGCTTATTACACATACACAAGCAAGAAGCAACCGCCTTGTATCTCTAGCTTGCAGCTAAAAGGTATAAGGTTCTTTTTTTTCTTTTTTTTTCTTGACAGTTTTCTTTGTACGTAAGTTTGTTCATAGGGGTTCTTGTCTTCTTTTCATTTTTCTGCATGCTACGTCATTCCACTATGCTCTTATTGTGTTCTAGTTTTCATTAGATATTTCCATTGTATGGTGTTAGTCTTGTCTTGTCTTTCCTCCAAAGTCATCAATGTTTCTCAAAGAATTCTCTGAGTTCTTTGAAACCGGAAACAAACCCAACACAACTCCACCACCCAACATCAGCACATGTAGGTTCTCAAAGGCTTGCATGGCAATGATTCATTCCCTCAAATTCTGAGCTCCTTTTCATCACTATTTTAAACGCCGACCATTTAAGAGCAAGTTACTGGCTATACCATAAGCATAAGGACACCACAGTGGCAGACCGAAGGGTCTAATTTACATGTAACCCTATTAAGGAGGTAGGATTGTACAAAGTATGTTATCTTTGGGAGCACATAAATTACCCATGATAAGCAGATATTCAACTGTATAAAAGAGTCCTATTTATCCTCACCCCAAGAAAGACTGAAGACAAGACAACACAGTAACAACTGTCTCCTGTGGTAGCTGAACACTCTTTGGTAACTCCTTATCCAAGGACACACCCAGCAGATGGGGGCAGCGTCGCCTAAGGAATGAGACGCAAGCTTGGGCAAACTCCTCCTGAAAATGAAAATAATTATACTTTATAAATAGTTGCCACAGCCAGAGGTTTCGGAAATTCCCCGACGTTTTCCTGACAAAGGTAACATTTCCCTGATCAACTGAATTAACCATTTCACAAATTAGCTGTGATAATGAACTCAACTTTTCCCCTCAAAGCCATCCTCTCCACCCATTTATTCATGCTCTCATTAAGTCATGTGCAGTGTACATGATTTGATAGTTCCTCAAACATTTAAGCCTCAATATCCACAAACAAATTCTCCCAACTGATCCCCTTACATTTCCTTACAGAATAGGTTGAGAGAATTTGTTCAAAGATCAATGCATTTTCCCTTAGTTCATCATTATTTTTATTTATTCTCATAAACTTTTCTTTTAATTAGGTATTTATATTGTCAGGACAAAATTGGCATTGGTTCAAAACTTGCAAACAGGATTGAATTTCTTGAAAACCTAACATCAGCTTGTTGTTCAATTTCACACACAATATTCTGCCAATACAACATGATTCATGTCTGCAAAATGTCCAAAAGAATTTTAAATCTTAGAAAACACTAAAAGTAGAGGGAAAAGAAAAAAAAATTATGTACTCTTAAAATTTGCCTTTTCACTGACTTCATTCAAATTTTCCCAGACATAAAGTGAAATTCCCTGACTTTTTCCTGACCTTGAAGAATTATTATTTTCTCCCTAACCATTTCCTGACCTGTGGTAACCATAATAGTATTGCTCAAGTTCACCTTTGTGTTTATCACAAAGTTGTGTAAGAAGGAGGTTACCTGGTGTTCTTTAAGCTTGTCTCTTAACCATTTGTCCAGTTTAAGATATTCTCGGCGTGATGCCAGGGCAGCAAGATCAATGACAAACACAAATGGAGAACCATTCAACAGCATTGATAATGCCTACAGAAAAAACAAGAAAGACAAGTTAAATAAAATGACTCAGCCGTTTAAAGGCTGATCTTTGGCCTTTGAGATTGAAAGACAAGTTCAAACTGTTGATAGACAACAATGGTGTCATTGAAAGAGTATTTTCTACTATTGTACTGAGGGAGTTTTTGTGGTATCAGTGTGTGGCTTCTTATAAAATTTCTTGAGGTAACAAAAGCACTGAAACAAGAGGCTTTGTTCTTCAGTAAAGTGAAAAAATGAAGACACTATCTTGTACAAATTATTTGCAACAGTTTTCAAGAAAATTAATTTACAATTTGTGTAGTTAAGTGAGCAAAAACAATGGTAAGCTCCTAGATATTGCTGATTGTTACCTTGAGGTCTTGAGCTACATCCAATATTCTTGATAGGCGTCCCTGGTCCATGTCACCTTTAACATACCACTCAGCCATCGCCTGCATCACCAGCTGACGAATTGATGCTGACTGACCCTGTGTGAAGTGAAAATACAACAGTTACTGAGATGATTTTTTTACCTCATACAACAAGGAAAGACAATATTAGGTGATAATTGCAAAACAATTAATTTCAATGTGATCGCTAAGATTTTGTTCAGCAATTGCAGTGATTGTTTGATGGCAACAAATGCCAGGCAATTGCAGTAATGGTGAGAAAGCCTTCACTCCTAGCATAAGGCTGGTCTCCATCTCAATAAATAATCAAATTAGATCACTGAACACTTTTCAGTTTTGTAACGAGGTCTGATAATCTGTACTACTGTGATCAGGGTAAGGGGTGGGGCATTGGAGCCTGATGAAATACGAAAATATATAAAAATGATGACCCCCACTTAATTCATTGAAAACTGAGAACCACAGACTTCAAAGATCAAAATGGGTACATTCTTGAATGTCATTCTGGTTGTCGAAAAAACATATCAATATTTTATATCCTTGAAACTGATTCAAAATTATGCACTATTAATTTTTGTACCTTTTCACAATGAAACACAAAACAATAGCAATAAATAAAAATATTGGAAAAAAAAAAACAGCAACAAACAAAGTGACACATTTGCAAAGGGAAAACAAAACTGTGCAGGAAACTAAAACAAAAAGGTGAATAAAATTCCTAGAGCAAAAACTGTAAAACCAGTACTTCAAAAGCTTTTAATTTGTTAAAGGGATTGTCAAACCAATAAATACACAAAGACATCACCAATAAAACCGGCAGCTTGGTTGGTAAGGTTTAACATGTACAGAATAAAATACTGACCTGTCCATGCCATACATAATGCAGCACACTGCCTGAGTTAGGATGGTTAGCGAGAAACACAGGGATAAGCTGTGATACTAACTCATTGCGCAGGGAATGCCAGAGAGGCTGCAATAAAGCACATCATTATAATTATACCACTTACTAACCAAGAGAGAGGTCATCAAAGGGAAATCTCAGACTGAGGCCTTGATGTATTGACCAAGGGATATCGAGGTCAATACATCAAGGCAGAGGTCTGAGATTTGCCTGTAATGACTGAACGGACGAGGTAAATAAATTATTTATCATATCCGGAAAAGAAATACATGGACTCGGACGCTAGTTAATTTTGGTTATTGACCAGTCACCTATTGAAATTTTTTGTGCAGTGGAGTTACTCAACATGTGAACTCGGGGGTTATGTCAGTACATTGTGACCAGTCTAGACACCCTTTCTTGACAGCTGTCAATTGACCAATTAACATGGAAGTCCATAAGGATGTCCACTATCAAGTTAAACACAGATTGTATATGCCTTGAACACCTAGCTAGTAATGCCCAGTCATTAAAAGAAAATAATGCCCGCTTAGCAGCCAATCAGAGTGCGCATACTATTGTAGCCATATAATAAAAAGTGTAACCAGATATAATCATATATAAATCAAGAAAATACTGGAGGTATAGAACAACTTCTTTCCAAGGTGGGCTGTCATAGTGTTTGCCCGGTCTGCAATAGCAGCGTTTGTAATTTCAAGATCACTCTACACTCAGGCATAGGTTACTATTTTTAAGGCAACAAAACTTTCTAATTAAAGAGGGGTGAATAATATCCTGATCTTTGTCTATGTTAACAGTATAAAAGAAAATTTCTTAAAGATCACTAATACATATACATGATTGTAGGACACTTTTTGGAGGCAAAATACTTTCAAAATTAGAATAGGAGCTGGGAGGAATAACAAGTCATTCTGATCCTTGTTAACGATGAAAAAAAGGACAATATAATTATTATTACGGTTACACAAGGTAAAAAACCCAAATAACTGTATGCTGATGTTTTGAATAGAGAAAATCCAGTGAGGACCCAGAAGCCACCCAGATTTCTAATGTTTTCTCCATTAACTTCTCTCAGGACATGTGTAGGCATACAGACGTAACAGGTAGTTTAAGATGTCATGACGGCAACGGCAAGAGGAACGTCAAAAAAGAAATAAGTTTTATTTGGCAAAACAACAACTCTGCACATGTGTTACACTTTTTGGTACATTTCTTTGCCATCACTGCATGACTACGATGTGAAATTAGCTAATTTGATGTATTGTCTAGGAGGTAAACACATAATAGCGACTTTTTCTTTCTCTTTCTGAAATTGAACGAGGTCGTTACAAACCCATCACCCAGAGAATTCACCAGCAGTTGACGAATTATGTAAGTTGCAATAATCGCAATAAAGTGACAATTAGGGCAAATCCATTTACAAATGACATTTTTGCTGCCATCGCCATTGTAAAATCTTAAACTACCTCATAACACATGCTACATACATTAATCTGCAGCAAAGCAAGTAGCAAAACATCTGGACAATGCTTCATTGGAAAACTGAACAAGGATTTGACTGTCTCGTAGTGACCTGCTTCTGCCAAACGCAACAATGTTTCGGACAAGTTCAGGGATTTCCTACAATGGAATTGATGATATTTAAATCATTTCATGGACAACCTGAGCAGAGCAAACTGATACAAACCAAGATCAATATCAAAGAAAACAAAAGCACCCTAACCAGCAGTAGCATAAAATTAATGTACTTGCATGGATATCATTATCAAAACACCTTTTCATGCTGCTATTGTTAATGTTTGATCCTTATGCTGTATGCTAATTTTTAGATCACTTGCTGTTTAGGATGCTTATTTTTGAAGTAAACTCCGTTGTTTTGTGATGTTTTGTTGTTTGAAATGAGTCCCATAGGATGCAAAGAACAATCAATCGATTTGAAGATTTTTTGGGTTGAATATCTTGTTTGTGTAATTTCTGTGGCTGTTGTTTCAAAAATTTTGATATGCATTATGCATATTCATTTTAGTCCTTTTTGTGCTTTAATACATAGAAGGACTGTACTTTAATTTCAGTAAACTGTAATGAAAAGTTTTGGCATCTGTCTCCAGATGAGCTGTCTGGTTACATAAAGCATTTTCAATTTAGGACATGTTGTATATTTGAACTGGGACTCATTGGTTATGGACCTGGGAGGACTCATGATTTTTCACAAGATGAGTCCCAGGACTCACCATAACTATTTGTAACAAAATCACTGCAAAGTGTGCGTCTTACAAAGATTTCTTCTTTACAGAGAGTTAAAAAGAAGGAGTAAAGAAAGACAGGTGCCAACTCTAGGTGTCCGTTAAGAGAGACTCAACACATTTTGAAACCAACAACTTGAAATCTTATTGACAGCCCTGGAAACCAGGCCTTGAGATTGTGCCTACAAAATAGCCATAAACAGACATGTTTAATAGTTACCATGTAGATATTTCTCGATTATCATCTTCTGGTACAGTTTTGAGCAGATCTATCACTACTGTGTGACAAGGATAATCAGCAAAACAGAAAATACCAGGATTGGATAGGATCTGCTGGATCCAGGACAGCTGAAATAAAGAACAAACATCTTTGACTCATATTTGATGGAAAGTGATACTTTTAATATCAGGGTTCCTACAATCATTGGATGCAAAATTTTAGACAATTTCCAGCCTTTTTCCAAAACTATTTCTTTTTCCAGACTCCAGGCTATCAAATAAGCAATTGATGGAAACCTCCAAAAAAAAAGGCAGAAACAAAGCTTTTTCCATGACATACTGCAAACATACAAGAATCAATATACAATAGAGACACAAAAGATTTCTAAACTAAAAGTTCTCATTCTGCAAGAATTGAATGTTAAATTCAATGACGGTTATTGGAGATTCTGTAGAATCTTGCTACAGGCAAAATTAAATAAGATTTGACTGATGGAAAAAAATTTCCAGAATTTTTTGGTGGATAGCTGAAGAAGGGTAGTGGAGATTTAAGCAAAATTATGAATTCTATTACAGGAACAGGGGAAAGATAAAGGAACAGTTGAAAAAGTAACAAACCAAAGGCAAAATATTACCTGTCCCTCTGTGTTGGTCCATGATCTATACAAGACATCTACTGGGAATATCTCCATCAACCCTCTGTGACAAGCAGTAAACAGTAGCTGCAGTCCTTCACGGCTTGGAACGTTGAATTCAGGGTAGTCTAGTTCCTGGATCACCTGACGCCAACTTAGCAATGGAATCTTTACAATAAAATACACAGCATCAAAATTACATTAGTAACATGACTAAACAGTTCTTACTCCAAATGTTTTAAAAATTTCAGAATTTATGAGGGGTTGGATGGAAAACCTCCCAAGCATGAATGGGTGGCAAGAATTGTTTTTCTCATACAAATCCTTCTAATTTCCGGCGGCCATTACAATCGCTACTTTTGAGATAATTATATGGCTGAAAATTTACAGGCCACCAAATCCAAATATGCTCTTTCAGCTTGTGCTAACAAAAGTTTTCAAAAGTGAACTGTTTTTGTGTTTACCGAAAGTTGATCACATGATCAGCTAACGGTTGATCGCATGATCAACTAACGCAAAAGGCCTATTTCCATAGCAAATGAGGATGCATAACTGGCATTATTCACAGAATGAGCTAGACAGCTGTGACATGGTCCCTTGAAGTTCTTAATAAATAACAAGGATGGCACAGAATGCTGGCACTCACCACATGATTATGCAGTGCCAGGTCTGGTCAATTTAGCACCCTATCAACTGATCTAAACCTTCTGCAATTAATATGTTGAAATAGTCAATTGCATACCATTTCTTTGAGAGCCTGGACAAACACTTCAACATTCCATGAAGCAGGGCCAGGGGTCAGTTCACTGAGACCCAGTTTGTCCAAAGAAACTGAACTGCTACCATAGTTCTGGAAAATAATGACACATAAAAATTAATCAATTATGAAACGAAAAAGTGAAAAGGTGAGTGATTTCAGTTATTCATTTGCAATGAAGGGGACATTAATACTAAAACCACACTGCCTTTCAACATCCTCTGCTAAGAACCACACAGATGATAGAAGTCAGGCAGGTGGCATAACAGAGAAGAATATGATACACTGAGCTTTCTTAGAGTTTGATTTCCAGCTACATGTAATGCCGGAGACCCTTTTTTCCCAGGGTTCCCATCAAGGGCTGGCTTCCCTGGTTTCCCTCAGTATTACCCCTGGCTATTTTCATAGAAAACAAAAGGAAGATATTATCAAAAGAACCTCTTAGCTTAGAATTGCACAAAACACATCCAAGGATGAACATTGTCCCTGCTGTCTTTCAGTCGTTTTTATTGACTCTGTATAAGCCAACATACCAATTATCCTTGGTTTCAACGGAGTCTAACCTACAGAGACCTGATGTACTAATTACATCATTTTTACCTGTATAGTGACATGTTCAGGCAGTCCATAAACAGTCTTAACCATCATTCCTAACAGAAAGACAGAGCAAAACAACATTAGTAGTTATTGATTTGACACGTATATGTACAAAATAAATGTTAAACCATTAACCTTTTAAGTCCCAATAATGGTNTTGGTTTCAACGGAGTCTAACCTACAGAGACCTGATGTACTAATTACATCATTTTTACCTGTATAGTGACATGTTCAGGCAGTCCATAAACAGTCTTAACCATCATTCCTAACAGAAAGACAGAGCAAAACAACATTAGTAGTTATTGATTTGACACGTATATGTACAAAATAAATGTTAAACCATTAACCTTTTAAGTCCCAATAATGGTGACCAACATCAATTTTCTCCTAATGATATCCATACATCATCAAGAGAAAAAGTTATCAGAATTAATAAAATGATCACCAAGAGAAAATGCCTTGATCTTTTACCAAATTCTCTCAACACATTCTTTAAGAAAATGTAAAGAGATCAGTTTGGAGAATTTGTATGTGGATATTGGGGCTTAAAGGATTAAATACAAATGAATTTCCTCACCAACAACCCTGGCCACAGCAGCTGGGGTGATATCTTGAACACCAAACTGGATCAAAGTATCTTTACATTCATCAACACTGGAACAAGAAAAGAAATTTACATCACCTGGCCTGAACATACCCCTGTTATATACAATGTTCAAAAAACTCTCCCTCAAACCTTTTCCTATGATACAGTAAGTACTACACAAAAGTTCTGCCCAAGAGATTTTATTTGAATGGTAACAACACGGGGTTTCACCTACAGATTTTAATGTTGAGGGTGATGCATACATTGTATACTCTCACTATTACTTGGCCTGGGAGTGAAAGGGTCAATGGGTACCTCTATGATTTAGATAGAGACCTAAGGCCAGTACAGCTGCAGTCTCTAATCTTGCACTAAACTGGCTTTGTTTATGAGATTTGGCACATTTTTTATGACAAAAGCAAATTAAAAAGCAAGATAAGATGAAATGTTTGTTTTAACTTTAAATCTAAATCATAGAGAAGTCTGGCAACCATGTCAGTCGCAATTTGGAGCCCTGCTTTTTCTACTTAAGGCACTTGGAAAGAAGGGAGGAACTGTGGTTTTTAACCACAACGATAATGAAGACCATAAACTGAAGAATAATGACTGCCTGAGGTTGATGTTCATTCTTTGTTATGGCATTTACATTAATATTAAAAAAGAAACTCATTTCCATGTTATGACAGCAATATGATAGCAATCATTATCCGATTATTGCATTGCTGCCTTAAATTTTTTCTTTTGTTTAACAACTGGAAACCACTGGCAGTTTAGTTTTCATTTTCCTTTTTCCTTTGTCTCTGAAACCCATCACCATAATATCTGACAAAACGGAAAACACAAATCAAACAAAACTAAACAACACTAATCATAACATTACAGTTTGATCATAATGAGACAAAAGAAAAATATACCTTGAACAACAGGAATAGCCTATTTCTTTCATAAGGTCAGCTAAGTCATCCTCCATCTAAAAGGCAAATAATATTCTATGACTATATGCACAACAGCATCACTAACTACTACATATACTGTAAGAAATGAAATGCTTTGTAGTATTAAAAGCCCCAGAACAGAAAATCTAACTGCCCATATACCACATATTAAAGAAGTTCGTTGGCACATGTTACACTAACCACTTGGTCAGCAAGTCCTGTCATCATCTCTACAAAAACTCACTGGTTAAATTATATAATGCTGCCTGAAGGGATCTTATTACATGACCTAGTCAAAAGGTCTTTTTCACATTTTTCAAATTTCAACTTCCTTGTTTCTCTTTCCTATGTTCAGAAACCAAAATGTCTCCTGAAGTATTCACTTTCCTGATTTAGAATTTCAAAATTTTAAGCCAACAGCAAAATACAATGGCTCAAAAGTAGACTTACCACTATCTTGGACAGATTTAAAGGTTCAGGAATGAGGCTGCAAAAAAAAGTCAAAAACCTATTAATAAGAATTTGAAGACTGCCGATAAACAATAGACAATAAATATACAGTAGAACCCTGGTAACTCAAAATCTGAAGGGACACAAAAATCAGTTCAAGTTAGCAAGGGTTCAAGTTATCGGTCTCAATTCCAAATGTAAAAATTGATAGTAACTGACTTTGCAAATCTAACCTATTTCATCAGAAATGGTAAAATGATTAACCATAAAGATTTTAAGTGATAAAATGGGATCTGTTTGTTGCACCAATTAAAATCAAATTGTTGTAGTGCTGACTAGAGTTAGTTTTAGCGTTTTTACGGTTATACATCAAGAAGAACTTTACTTTTCTGGTGATATATCTTGTGATTCAGGGTAAAGAAGTGGAGCAAGAACAACTGGTGCTCTTTCTTTGGGAAAATCTGCAGTAAAGATAACAACCAGCATCAGCAAACAATCACACTGTGTCAATAACTATTCAGTGTACGAATTAAACTAAGGGTGCATTTCATTAACCTTAATCTAGAATAGAAATACAATGAGTAATAGGAAAAATCTGTTCCGCTGAATATACTCCAAGACAAAAGGTGGAAAAATCCTGGCAGCTAAATTCAACAGCTAACCACAGATGAGGAATATAAGTTATAGTGTCAAGTGACGAGGAATTTGGCTTTTGAGCTTCTAATAAAAGTGCTTTTCTTAACAAGAAAAACAACTTTGCATACACTGCAGTCGTGTCTTCATAATATGCCAAGGTTCCTGTTATTATACATGTAGAGACAGTTAGAGAGAGTTTGGCATCTAGACCTGCTACTACCAATCTTAAGCAATGGCAAACTTGGGAATGGAAACTTTAACACCCTTTATGCCCACAAAGAGATCAGAATCAAACTTCTCCTTGTGATATCAAAATGCTTTATAAAACAGATCGGAGAAAGGAATTAAGGAAATGATCACACAAGATGACTCTGGTTGATACTTCAACAACTTCTTCCAACTACTTCGAAAAGAAACGTATAGGGACGACAAATAAGAATTCGAATTTCGATATTAGGGTTAAAAGGGTTAACAGTTGGTACAACAAACCTTTCTTCAATGTTTCCAGGAAGGCTGTTACTTGGTCATCCCCAACTCCAACCTGTTCCCTTGGGCCATGGATCACATGGGATAAAAGACGATGTAAAACTTCTATGCCAACATCAGTCAAGCCTCCTTCCTGTACACTACCAACATCTTAAGAGAAAATATAGAGATAAGAACATTTCAAAATGCATTTAAATACAATTTAAAGGAGTTAACAACTAAGAGCATCTTCAGTGCCTGAGGTCCGCAGTCATTCAGCATACACATGCCAAGTTGTTCGCTACATTCCTCATGCGATTCTGTGGCATGGATTTTTCCTTTATGCTGTGTTGTCCATGCCATGAAGTTTCTTTCAGTTATTTTCTCCAAACTCTCCTCCACTCACTATGGTTCTTTCTTCACTGATATTCTTCAGTGTGACGGGTGCCTGTTCGTTTCAATTTCTGTGGGGGCTCATGGCTGGGTTGGGCAGTTGCACCAGCCGTTGGGGCATTATTCGATCTAGAGGCTGGCTGCCAAAAGTAGAAACCCCTGGATACTCCAGGCGCCCAACTGCCCTTTAAGTCCCAATATCCACATACAAATTCTCCAAACCGGTCTTCATACATTTCCTTAGAGAATGAGTTAAGAGAATTTGGTAAAAGATCAAGCTATTTTCTCTTTGGTGATCATTTTATTAGTTCTCATAACCTAATCTCTTAACAATGTATGGATATTGTTAGGAGAATATTGATGTTGGACACCATTGGGACTTAAAGGGTTAAACAAAGCAGTTGTTAAAGAAATTTTCCTTAAAACACTTGCTACAAATGTTGAATCATGGACAAAAGGCCAACAACACTATCCACAGATCAGTTGGCTACATTGAGGGACAAATCCTAAAAAAAGCTGTCAATCAAAACAGCACTCATACACCTAATTCCAAAATGGTGACATATTAAGCTAATACTTGTGTCTTCGTGATTATTGGCCCTAATTTATCCTCTAGTTCTTTTGAATTCTACAGATGCATAAAGGAAAAGTAATGTTGCCATAATTTTGGAATGAACGTACATGTTAAGGTTTTAAATAGGCAACAAATTCAAATTCATTCATTCATTTTCATTCATTCATGCTTCAAATTCTTACCAGCATCTATGTAGGACCTCAAAAGATCAGGTAGCTTGTGCTTTACAAATTGACCAGCTACAGCAAAAAGAGTAAATCAAGATTAAAATATAAAACTTAATTCAGATAAAAAATGAACTTATACAAATCCAAAAACTGAAACCTTTGCATTTGATAGAAGTAAAGGCAAAAAATGGTAAATAATGGGGTTAAAGAGGACTAAAGCTTTTAACAGTTTCTCTAACCCTTCTAATGGCAAGGTAAATTTTTCTAAAGGTTTTACTAATGGCTTGAATACTTTCCCAAGCTGTTTTAATGCTTTTCTAACAGGTTCCTAACGCTTTTGCCTGTTTAATGGAAAACTGTTAGTGTATGTTTTCCTGGAGAAGGTCATAATTATTTTTTTAAACATCATGAAGCCATGAAGAAATGCTTATAGTTTTAGGTGGGTGAGAAAAGTAGAGAAAAACTACAAAATAATAATCAATTTTATTTTATTTTGTTTTTTATTATTTATTTATTTATTTTTTACAAATAATCAATTTTAAACTTAACACACAATATTTAACAATCTACATGTAGGCTTGTACGACTTACCATGATGTTTTAACTCTTCATTTGAGGAAATCAAAAGACCAAGACCAAAAATCACCTAAATTAAACCACATTGCAGTCATTTTATTAACCAGAAATTAGCCGCAGAAAATAATAAATTAATTTTCACCACTGCAGTTTTCTTCTCATGAGCAGATGCCTGTTTGTGATTACCATACATCGATAATAATAACTAATTAAGGCAGCTGCCTGGAAGTTTAAGAATAGAAAAATGGCCAGCATGCAAAGTCTATTTTAGTTGTGTCACGGCAGAAAGTTCATACTATTGAAAAATACAAAAAAAACTCCAAAAACGAAAACACTGTTAGTAAAGAGGACCATATATTGAGTTGGTGTTGGGAAGAAATGGAGAAAAGAGGAAGGAATTTCTGACCAAATTGAGCATTACGAGCCTGCCAACCTCAACAAACTACTTCGATGCAGAGATTTCATAACAAAAAACAACAAGCAACGACTTCCAGTTTGGCAGTCTCAAAAGTTATGATGACCGCTTTGGACAGGCATTTGAAAGAGAAAGGATATACCTGTTCTATGATTTATTAGGGACAGGCAATTCAGCTCCTCGAAGCAAGTTTTTGTTGGTAAAGCCAAACAACTACACTGTACATGTAAGTCTAGCCGACTGCAGAAAGCATTCAAACAAAGCCAGGAAGGTAATTTTTTTCATGTATATTATTAAAAAGTAATCATATGTATATGACTTTTCTAGTTCAATTTGGAATTTATTTGAACTCCTGAGTTTTTCAAAAAGTTCAAATTGCATACACCCAAATTTTTAAGCTTTTTGAAAAGTACATTCATGCAAATAAATCCCAAATGAACTCAAAGTCGTATAATTACCTACACAAATCATGCTGAACAGCCTAGAATTTACAGTTTCACAGCAACTGGGCTCCTTTCAATTTTCGTTAGAGCACAGCCTTGCTTACGCTGCAAAGACTTCACTTAAAAGAAAGAACTTTCCTCAGAACATTTATGAGCTGTTTCCAGATTAGCATAAACATTTGAAGATGAAGACCGGAAACCTTTCAACATACTAATTTTACTCTTATTAAGACAAATTCAAACAAATTCCCATATTTTACCTCTTGCACCTTGTTAAGTTTCAATACCCTGCTGATGTTAGGGAGTAGTTGAGCAGAAGGCCTCAAGGTACGCTGTCTGTGCTCTGGCGTTTCAATTGCATAACACAGAATGGATGAAAAATTGGGCTTAGACACGAGTATCTCGCATTCTTGAATGAGAAACTGGCACTGAAAAAAACAGGAAGATGTTTTAGACATAGAGTAGGCCATAAAATTAATATTGATGAGCTACACATAACTTGTCATCTACGCGACAGCTGTACCTCGTTGTCACATATACAATCTTTAAAAAAATTAATTAACAGTATTGAGGAAGTAAAAAATGCCCCTTTGAAACAGAAATGCACCTCCCAATCTAGTGAATATATCTGTTACTTTTAGCCACAATGATTGAAGAAAAAATAAGTTGCACATAAGGCTAAAGACAAAAAATAACCCCAAAATCTAAAAGGATTAGTGTTCAATCTAGGTCACATTTTTGCATCATTGACGCAGAGTATTCTATTCTGATGCTGATGCAAGATGAAATTATTGTGGAGTCATACCCACACAGACGAAGAGGTCATCTCATACTGTGCAGTACTTCCAAAATAGCAGGCAATAATTGAAGTAAATTTTGAAAAATAGGTGAGCTTACAAGCCTGAAATGAGTGCCGAAATGACTGGCATTTCAGGCTACACACGAGTAGTTTTGGGTCAGGCATTCCACAAAATTCCAGTAGAAGCTGGAGTGTAATTTCGACTTTCTGCATACATTGCTTTGCTGATCAATTCACACTTCATTTGTTGACATTGTTCTTTTGTTTTTGTTTCATTACGAAACAAAAACAAAAGCTAAGTTCATTTTTTACACCAAAAAGAACGGCAATTTAACCTGAAAAGCACGAAGATGGGCTGGATAAGGAAGGTGAAGTTCACGATAGTTTGGGTGATGTCAGTTATTCAAAGTTTCAATATCATAGTTTGACCCAGATCATTTTTGAAATGACCCAATTTAAAATGCCATGAGGGACATCTGACCCATTTTGACTAATTTCTAGATTGAACACTGGGACTAACCTATCAGGTCAGCCCAAAGGCTAAGCTTAAATGGGTAGTAATTAAGTACAGGGTAGGTTATGTAATACCTTAGGGACATAACTACATGATAACATTTCAGGGTACAGGTACAGCAGCGACGCCCCACTACAGATACACTACCCATGCGAAAGGACATATTACAGTAAAACATCACAGTTATCCTCTTGTTCAAGATTTTGATCCCAAGTGCGCAAATAAGCTGTACAGCTAACAACATAGTAATATGCAGCAGGGTCCGAAATTGCGCCTTCCTGGTCGCCAATGCGACTAGAAATGCAGTCCTGGCGACCAGAATTTCATAGCTGGTGGCCAGCTAGCAACTTGTAAAGCTGGTTGTTATTGTTATTGTGGAGAAACTTCGAAGCTATTTGCCGACAGGTGTCTTACTTTTTGTCCTGCTGATATTTTTTAATTGAAAGTGAAACGGATCTTCCTGTAGTAATACCTCCACAACAGCTACGATCAATACGAGTTCTACGTTTCCAAGCCACCATGTTGTTTTCCGTAGCTGAAATACGGTAAGTACATTATGTAGAGTAATGTGGCACAGTTGTGGCCTGGTACAAGCAACATGGCGGCTTGACTCATGTTTATGTTTCGTGTTTCGTGGTAGTTATGGGAAGAGAATAGAGTTTTAATATGATCAGTGCAGTCATGGGCAGACAGCTTTCTGTTCCTACATTCTGCGTCAGATAGCTTTATATCTCCAAAAAGTAATTTGTGGAAAAAAATAAGACTTCACTCGTACACGTATGGTTGCTTTCTAGTATCTGGACCGGGAGTAGTGCAATTTTTGAGCATAAAAACGTCCATACCATGCATTTTTTATTGGTGTTGTAACTTTTATTTGAAAAAAAAAGGGAGGGGGAATTTTTGGCGACAACAATTTGGCCTCTGGCGACCAAAAATTTATACTTGATCGCCAGTTGGCGCCCCGTATTAAAAAGTTAATTTCGGACCCTGTGCAGCATTCCAAAGTGTGATTATTTTGGTTACCATGGCAATCAGAAAAAATTTACCTGGCTTAAATTTCAATCTGGCAACAACATAGTACCAGTATGCAGTATAGCAGCAGTATGCAGGAGACGAGTCAATATGAACCTAGTACATGGCCTAGCTCTCCATGAGTTTTCCATAGCTCAGTGCATAGAGCACCCGCCCGGTGTTTGGGAGATCATATTAGGTTCAAATCCTGTTGGGGACTCAGATTTTTTCTTTGTCCCATGCTCATGACATGCTGATTATTTTCATCTTCACAACATAGTATAAGTAAAAGTAAAAATTTGGCAACCTGTGTTTGACAGTCATGAGCCAAGCTGTAGTAATCTTTTTAATTGTGTTTACGGCTTTTCTGAAGTTAAAGAGAGATAAACATTTGCATGGAATGTTTTTAACCGACCGACCGACCGAAAAGACCAGACTGGTCAGAGTGGACCACCTTCAAAGCTGGTCCCAAATATTGTGGTCGGACGAAACCGAAATAGTCCGTTCCATGTAATGTACCAACTGAAATTTCCGGAATTTTTGGGTTGAATGGACAGCGCCCCAAATGAACAGATGAATCCTTTCCCAATTGCAGATTTGTTGATTCCTGTAATGTACTATGATCTGTCAGTGAGTGATCTCTGATTACTAATCCTGATCCAGATCAATCTAATGAAACAAACCCTAAGATGAACACATAGTGCAAGTCCCAGAGGTGTTTGTCTTAGAGAGAACCAACTGCATTTCACGGCAGCTCACCTGGAGGAAGTCCTTCCCATTACTTTTACTATCACTGGCAAAGTCAATGAAGGAGAATAAACATCTAAAAAGGTGGCGTTCTGCCTCGTAACCATGCTTTTCAATCAGCTGCAAGGATAATAAAAATAAGAATGAAGAATACCAACAGGGCAGATAATTTTAACAAGAACAATTCATGTTCATTTGTTAGGAGGCTGAAGAAACAAAAATAATGATGTTTAATAAAAGTACAGAATGAATTTTAAACACTGTATTGAATCAGGGGTCACCCTAGATGTATCTTCTTTCAGCCTGTGGTTATTAGTCCTTCTCTTCTGCTTACCAGTGTTGTGAGTATTATTGAGTTGTAGGTTAAAAATCCCTGGCTGCTTGATTCCCTGCCTACTTGTTGTATCTAGGGCCTCTTCACATGAGCCCGGTTAACCGAACTGGCCCGGTTACTGGGATGAATTTTGGGTTTATGGTGCGAAATTTCAGCCTGGTTTCCGAGATGAGAAAAGGCCAAAGATCCTAGGGACGAGCTCTGGCACCAAATTCGAGAAACACAGCAAACATGGCTACTGAGTAAAAAATTTTAACTTTCAGGCCTATCATAGCTTCAGAAACTCTTAAAGTGGTATCACTGCAGTTAAATGGGATGCTTATGACTTGAAAAATACAGCAGGCAATGCAAGATGATGCTATCCAGACCACCAGAATTCATCCCACCATTCATCCCGGTAACCAGGATGAAATGTTCACATGGCAAAATTTCCAGTCTGGTTACCAAGATCTCCGTTGGAAAAACCAAGATATCAGGAACTGAGCCAGTCCGCCCTCTCATATGAACACATCAAAAATTTTATAAAGGATTTAGAGGTAAGACGAGATCTCAGAAACCAGGCCAGCCCGGTTGACCGGGCTCATATGAGGAGGCCCTTAGCCAGCAACTCTAAATCTTAGTGACAGCCTTTAGGAAGTAAAACATTTATGCCACATTATTACATGCACCTAAGAAAACATTTAAAGACAAATTTCATATACTGACTTCAAACGGCCCCATAATTCACTCCTTTTTTAATATTCGGTTGTACAGAACCCACTGAACAAAACATCTTCTTAGTTCTTTCTATATCTGATCAGGACCATGAACTTCAGCAGTAAAACCATTCTCTGATGAATTAAACCTATACACAATTTTTATCGACAGAAAACACAACTTTCATCTGAAAGCTCACCTCGTTTATTTCCTTCAGAGTCGCCTTGTAATTTTTCTTTGTTAAATCGTTGACTGCAAAGCTGATTTGACCCAGAGCCAAGGACAAAGAGTCTACACAAGCACTCATCTCTGTCAACAACAATGTCTTCAGAAAACACGCCCTTACGAAGAGAGCGTTAGGACCAAAAAAATATTATACAACGATTTAACATCGTATGGTCTAAGGAAAAGGTTAAGCCTGTCGTCATAAGGACAGTAAAGTTTTTTGTACAGTTAAAAGTAAGGGCATAATAATTGCAGCAAATGCTCCCAAAATAGAAATAATTGCAAATGGCCGTCGAACACGATGATATCCCACAAATCCCCTCAATGCCAGCGGTTGGTCAAGAGATCATGCGCACTAGGGAGAGGGAGGAGAGTGGTCTTGTTTCCGCCATTGGATGAAACTTTAGGATTTTTGGCGAGAAAATATCTTCGTTTTTGAGGAAACTATGGCTGCAACGTTGCGTCCTTACCTTAACGCGGTCCGGTCGACACTAACAGCATCGATGTGCTTGGAAAACTTCGATTCGCAAGTGGTAGAAAGGCATAACAAACCCGAAGTTGAGGTCCGTAGCAGCAAGGAGTTGCTGCTAACGCCAGTGGTGATAAGCCGAAACGAGAGAGAGAAAGTGCTCATTGAAGGATCCATTAATTCTCTGAGAATAAGTATTGCAGTGAAGCAAGCCGACGAGATCGAGAAGATCCTCTGCAAGAAATTCATGCGTTTTATGATGATGCGAGCTGAAAACTTCTTCATTCTTCGCAGGAAGCCCGTGGAAGGATACGACATCAGCTTTCTCATCACCAATTTCCATACCGAGCAGATGTTCAAACACAAGCTAGTGGATTTTGTCATTCAATTTATGGAGGAGATAGACAAGGAAATCAGTGAGATGAAGCTGGCTGTTAATGCAAGGGCACGTATTTGCGCAGAAGAGTTCCTCAAGAATTTCTAGACTTGACTGTGTTGAGGAAGTTTGACTCAGGTCGAAACTTTATCTAGAGTTTCTTTACATTTAGTTTTGTAATCCATGTGTATACAGCAATATCTTTTTTAAAGATATGAATTGTTCTAAACAGAGAATTTCACCTCTGCTGCATCAGAAGTAACAAAAAGGAAATAAAAATAGCTATGATTGTTTTTACTTGTATAAGATTTCTACCGCAATGGTGTATTAGAGGGGGAGGAACTGTAATGCAGTGGTCAGGATTTTAAAGTGTAAAGTTGTGCAAGAACAATCCTGGCTAGCTACAATGTATTATCCACACCCTGTCAACAGTCCCCTTTGGAATCTCATCTTGGTGATTGCATCAGCAAGACAGCCGACATTCCGAGATGCCACCACTGGTTTTGTGCAAAGTTACATCTGAGAAACTAGCACAGAAATTCCATACCGAAGACACATTACTAGCAAGAGCTAAGTGGTACTTCTGATTACTTGTGCTGCATGGGAAATTTGCTTCAACCAATCAGAATCACAACCCAGATCTCTGTATTGACATATCGTCAGTATCGAATTTCTATGCTCGTTTCTCAGATGTCATTTTGCAGGGAAACCAGTGGTGGCATCATGAAATGTCAGCTGTTTTCTCAGGCCACGATTGCATTAGACTGTGAGCAGTTTCTAGGTTAAGCTGCAGCAACAAGTTCGAAAAAAAGTAAACATAGAAAAACGACAGCCGGCCTTCTAAGGAAAACTAGGTTCACCTACTGTCACAGGAAAGCTTGCCTGCGAAAACAGCCATTTCTCGTCACTCTTCGCTGCTGGAGACGCTTCGTGTGCAGGAACCCCTGTGTCTCAGGGACAGAAATTCCATACTGATGACGTAAATCAATGTTTACATAATGTAATTATCATTAGTCATGGGGTTTCCACATTCTTATTTTTCAATTCTCTGTTTCTCCTGGTCGATTTTACGCAAGTGTTGTGTTCATCTGCAAACAAACTCCAGCTAAACTCAAATGCTTCTTCTAGAGAAGAATATATTCCACCAATTTTGACTGGTTTGTTAGAGATTCATCACATTTACATTTGACCTTCATGGCCTTTTGTCTTTTGTCTGTCATTCCTAAACAATGGCTAAAACAATGTAACTACTCCGTCGACCAATCAGTGTTTCTGACCAGATTCGGGACAGATTTTACATCGTCAGTGCAGAATTTCTGTCACTGAGTCGCAGACGTTTTTCCTCGTGAAACATCCTCAGTGGCAAAGAGAGAGGAGAAACGGCTGTCTTCGCAGGCTACAGGAAATTAAGCACTCCAATGATTGTGTTGCAACCATATTTTTTTGCTACTTAAAGGTACAGCTTAAATGATGGAAATAATATTGTAAGTCAATGATTTCATAATATAAGATACTTTTACAATTTAAAACTTCCTGAAATTGTGATTAAAACTGCATCTTAGGCTCTGACAAAAAACAGTCTTTTTTAGGTGTAGAGAATATTGAAATGATTCCAGAAACATAACAATTTAATATTCAGGAGAATTTTCAAAACAAAGCTTTGATTTACTTTTTATCATTTACACAAAATTGCCATGATTGTGCATAAAATATTAATACACTGTACTTCAATGAAGTGCTCATGCAGAGCTGTATTTGGTGAAAACTACCTGTAAAAATGTCTTTGTAAAAATAGACTTTTCCTCCTGACAATACCTTTGATTCAACAAACATGAGCTTAGTCCACTAACAAAACAAAGACAGGTAAATACAAAGTCAGAAAAAAATTCATGAGCCATCTTCAATCATGAGCTTTGCAGCATTGAACTCACTTACATCAAGTTTTCTTCCAAACAACTACGCGAGTTAAAATGTTAGTTCACTACACATGTCTGTGGAGAGGTAGTAAATACTTGTCAAGTGAACCAGGGCGGTTTCATCGTACACAAGGTCTGCATTAGTTTGTGGCCAATCATTGTCACGACAGTTGAGAGGGTCTATTGGGCGGAGACTCCAGATGTTGGACCGTATTTCCCGGTCCCCAGATTAGAGTATGAAATATCCCCGATTTTCACCGGTTTTCCATTCAGTTGTAGACTCGACTTTCCAACATTGAACTTTTAAATATTTGCGTTGTTTGAGCTATTTTACTGTTAACATTGAACATTTCCTCATAAACTTTGGTATGGTATATTATGCCATTGCAATGTATGCAATAATGTGAGACAATCGAGTCAACAAGTATTTTTTACACAAAGGACGTCATTTATCGTGTGATATGACATCATCTATCATCACTTCCCTATCAATTCTCAATTTGAAGACTTGGGGGGTTGACAGCCCTGTAGTAATGTCTGTGAAGCAGCACCAGTATCCTTATTATTTTCGGGCCCCCAACATAACAGACTCGGAAACGCATTCCAAATTTCCCTTCAACCTGGCCAGTCATTGCACCTACTCAAATCCTGCTACACAGGTGGGCACCCAGAACAAGAATATTAGTGCTGTTTCACAGACGGATGTAACCAGAATCTTACTTCCATCTGTGTGAAAAGATGCCAAAGTTCATTGGGGGGTTAACACATGTAGCTTTAAGTAGCACGAAATGTAATGAATTTCATTTGAATCCTTTTTGAAAATCTGTGTTCTGGTTTTCTGTGTCTGTTTTTCATTTTTTAAAACCTGGTTTAATTAAACATGTTATGTTGGTGCGAATGGGGCATTACATTAACAAGTATTCAGTATAAAAGGTATACTGCCAGGGGAATTAAGGAGTTTGTGAAATCAATCTTCTTCACTTATGTCACGTGTAAGATGGCAAGATCTAATATAGCCACTCTGCTTGGATAATCTAAAAAACTTTAATTATTACACATGATTGACTGTATAAATATTATTGTTTGGATTAGTATACACAGCATCAAAACATCTGTCTTTGCTGCCAAGCAAAATATACATGGATATTTGTAAAATCTGTTGAGTGATATACAAAAACTTCAATAAAGAAGACCCAAACGATCATCCCTTCCAATTTCCTTTTACAAACATAGCCTGCAAAGCCAAACATATTTCCAGTCATTGCAAGAGATCTAGAAGCAACAACAGGAAATTATATGTCTGCATTCGTTGGCAAGCACAAACAAAGAAAGCTAGAATTGGACTTCAATGAATGAGTCACTAAAGGTCACTTTCAATAATTACCCCTTCAATTCTCATAGCAGTCATCTCATAAAAACCGTAAATCAAGATTTCTGTTACAATGAACTACAAATTAAATTCCTTAATTATACACAGCATTTATATATAATTTCGACAACATTACAAGTAGAGCTTTCTTTAACGGACAACACACTTTGAAATTCACAAATGTGTGAACCACACCAGCTACGCTAACTGGTTCCAAGCTCTCACTTAGCAGAGATGAACAAAACAAAATCTAAAGAAGCCTGATTCTCAGACAGTCTAAGTCACTCATGGCTATTCACAAGAGAGTGAGTGGGTCCTGAGCAAGCAGTCTCTCAACTTTCGTTTGATTCACAGTAGATCAAAAGCAGACTTGGGGACGAGCAGCAAAGCTGCAAGGAACAAGGGTGGGAGCCCAAGCAAAGAAAAAAAGAGACATCTTTTTTCCTCTCGATCTCTACCCAAATCTCTCCTCCCTTTTAACCATTAATTTGCATAACTTTCCTTTTTCACTAGCCACTCATGGATCTAACAAAACAAGGACAACTCGTGATCTATGAGCAACCTGGACCATCTGAGAATCAGGGAAAAAAAGAAGGCAAAGAAAGGGGAGAAACAATGTGAAACATACGCCTTAGTACAGTCAAACTCCATCAATATGGACACCGAGGGGGCCATAGAAATTTAGTGTCCATATTATCAGGGTGTCTGTATTAAGTGGGTCAAATTTAGAGAAAAAGTAAGGGCTTTTTTTCCCCAGGGACAAAGCAAAACTGACCGTAACAAAGTGTCTGTAAAGCGGGGTGTGACTGTATAATTATTCCTTGCGCTCACTCTTTTTTCAATTGTCCCTGCTAGCTGAGAAACAGGAATCACAGCTATGCATACAACTGGGTTGAGGTAGGGTTATCAGTCAAGAAGTGTGGGTCCAGTATTATTTTAACATACCACTGGAAACTAGCAATACTCCCGGGGGGTAAGGGGGGGGGGGTACTCTAGATTTCAAGTGACAGGGATAATCGAAGGATTTTTTTGTGTTCCAAATTTTCAATTTCGGGATTTTTTGGGGTAGGAAAATTTTGGAAAGAATTTTTTTGGGTAGCTTGATTTAAGTAGGGATTTTTGGGATGTTCAAAGCTAATGTTCCTATTTTTTGTGTTATATCATTCAATTCTTTCTGTAAATTCTTATTGCTAGGAAATTCATCATGAGACTTTTTTGAGTTCTGTTTCAAGCCCTACGGATTTTTTTGAGTTTTGATTTTTGCTCCCATTCAATCATCCCTGTAGCTAGAAATAGGGAGTACCCCCCCCCACCCCCGGCCCCCTTGGGCAATAATCTTGGTCTATTTTAAGTTTCAGAGTACAAAAAAAAAATCAAAATTGTGCAAAGTGATTTGTCCAAAGCTGTTATTTAAAAGGTGCTGATTTTTTCATATATAAAAACCTGATCTAGTAACAACATGAATGTGTTTGCTAAAGACTGAGTTATTTAGTCAAACCACTGCTAATCAACTAATGTAACTTTTTCCAGTAAGAAATGATGGGAGCAAGTGGAATATTGTTAATTTTACCACTTACATCACTGCTGTAAATAATTATACACTTAATCCTTAACCCTTCACTACTCCTGACAGGGCTGTTACCGAAGGCCATGGGCTAGGGATTTCTCAGGCTACTATGAGCATGATCCCCCAGCTACTTTCAAAGGAAAAAAAGGAAAACAGAACCAAAAGAACGTCACAACTGTTCAATTCCTGTCTACTTATCACATATACCCAGCAACTTGAAATCTTTGTGACCATAATTCGGGCAAGATTATTAGATTATCAGTCAGCATCATAGTTGTGAATCTTGAAACGATAGAGTTACGGTAATTATGCTTAAATACCAACACATGAAAGCACAAGAATTCTTCCAATGGTAATTGCATTACAATGGCAAACAAAGGTATATTTTACAGTCTATTTTCTCTCAAAATTACCACCACCTTGGAATCAAGCAACATTTTGTAAATTTCCAAGTTGTTTCAAGTTCTGATTGTTGACCTCTGGTGTAACAGCAACGGGCCAATATGCAACGTTGTTTTGGGAGTAAGTACGAATCTGCTTGTTTAACTTGTTACTGTCTCCCCAGCAAACCTTCTGACTAATTTTAAACTGCCACATGATTAACACAGCAATTAAGAAAACAGCTACAAGAATAAAAATGATGAGCAATTTGACGAAGGTAGACATCCCCTGTTCACGTAAAGAGGTTGGAGGCACCGCTGTGTCCTCCTCAGTAGGAGCATTTGGATCTTTACAACATTCTTTCTTTACTTGATCTACAATGTCATCAGGATAGCAGAGCGACAAACATGTTCCGTAGTCACAGTGGCAATACAGGGTGCAGTTGGGACATGATTTGCTGAAGGGCTCCTCACATCCTTTTTTGCACTTTTCACTACATGTTTTAGAATCATTTGGATTGATTTTTGGATTAACACTCAGTTCACAAGTGCCGTAAAGTCTAATGGACCACTTTTTAAATTCTCCTTCCATGCCCTTGGTATCAGACACCTCTATCTTCCACACACCTGCAGGATTCTCACCCCAGTTGAACACAGTCATAAAAGCCCAGTTCGAAAAACCGTCACTTGAATAATCCCGGTCTCTGGGTGCTAAGAGTTCCGACCTCGTGCCAGCAGGTGATGTTAAAACAATTCGTAACGAACCCCTGGATTTATGGCTAAGGGTGACATATACCCTCACGTGCTCAAGTTTGGTGACACAGTTCGTCTTCCCAGAGCACCCTGTACTTATTATGGAAGATGTCAGAGTACCCCTGGCAGGTATTCTCTTATTGTCGGTATGATCCTGCTCTCGACACATGTGTTGCTCAGGGACTGTTTTCCAGTTTGGTGATGTCGCTGCTGCCACCAAAGCTGCTGTGTCTAAAACTCCAAAGCCATATTTGTGATTGACACGATGTCCTGCCCCATTTTTCTGCCAGTCTCTGTCCTGTCGATCAGTCACTTTCGAGGTGTTGACTATAAGATGTTGTAGGTCTCTCCAACTCAGTTTAGGATTGGCTTCCAAAACTAGAGCAAATATACCTAGAAAACAGTTCACAAAACATTTCAGCATACAGAAAAAGAAACAGAACAAAACAATGGCATAGTTTCTACAGAACCTGTAATCAGACAAAATAGAGCCTTGAAGCCTGTCTTTACAGACACCTCTGTTCAGACATTGGAGTTCTCTTCACTACCTCAATAGAGTGAGTTAAGTATCAATACAACAGGAGCTCGTGCAGTTCAATTTAACCATGTTCTTTCCAGCCATGTCAATGGATTTTTGCTAACTGGTCCCATTCAAAAGTTAAAAAACCATGGAAGAGTCTCTTGGCTAGCCTGCACCAGACAAAACTTAACCCCGATTACCTGCAGTAACATCTATGAAACAGTGCCAAAATCTTTGTTCTGGGTCCCAACCTGTGTACCAGGATTTGAGTATGTGCCATGATTGGCCTGTCAAAAAAGCCATTGTCCATTTGCCAATCAGGTTGAAGGGAAATTCAAAACGCACTTTCGGTAACTTGTTGAGTCCATTGGGGGCCCAGAAGAAGGACCTTGATTCTGCTTCATAGACATTACTTATCACGGTTATATTACATCTTCGATGCAGACTACCTATTTGCATGCTAAATATTTTGTTATTGCAGAGCTTACAAAGGGAGAAACAAACCTGCAGCAAGAGGAGCTGCAGCTGATGTCCCAGTGTGCCCTTTGGTACATGCATGGTGCAAGTCAGTGGTAACAATCTGCTTGTCTTGTCCGCGTGTCTCGCCGCTGCTATAGGTAACGGCAAGAGTTGATGGGCAAGGCTCGGCATACCAAGGAGACTTGCCCCGATCGTTGACTGCTCCAATGGAGACAGTGTAAATGCTTGTAATGTAGCCATCACAATTGCAGTAGTCATCGTAGTGGCCGCCATTACCAGTAGCCCAAACAAAGATGGCTCCAAGACCACCACGCCCCTTTCTGATACCTGTTTACAATACACAACATACACATATCATGAAATTATAATAAATACAAAGTTATGAATTTCATATATTTGAACTGCTGGACGAAGAAGACGATGCAGAGAAAATCATCACAGGTAAATATGCACCTTAGCCAGTTGTGAAAAGAAAGCCTGAAAAAAATCAGGCCTCCCGGAATTCAAACTTTGACCTCTGCGATACTTGATAACGGTGCAGAGCTCTAACCAGATGAGCCACTGTAGCAATACACATATCAATTCAAACAGCTTTACACTGTATTTTGATACAAGATATACTTGCCAATTCACACAGCTTTATTTTGCAATGAAAAGGGAAGGGTTTAATTAGCTTCCTGGAACTAATTTCTTGAAATTAAAGGGACACAGTCAGCTGATGCACATGTGCATTAGATACCATTTCTTAGCTGATTTGCATGTCACAAAACATGCACATGAAACAGAAGTGAGAGGCGTATCCAGAATACTCTAAGCTGAACTAGTTACAAGCCAAACTCGTGATTATTGACCCTAAGCCATTATTCATTTCTCTTGTTATTTTGGTAAAAGAAGACGATTTCTCTCACCTGGCACCTACACATTTCTCACCTCTTCTGTTCATGTTCCTTTGGATACTTTTTTTATCCAAATATGATAAAATAATGTCATAGGATCAGTAAACGTTTGCTCAAAAAGAGGTTTTCAGTAAAAGATCGATGATCGAATGAAACACTAGGCAAGATTGAAGCAGATTTCTAGATGTATATGACGCATACTGATACATTTGATTTCGGGGTTGAGGTAAACACTTTTCTGGCAAAAGTAGTGTCCAGGTCAGCGCAGTCCCATAGCTGACTGTGTCCCTTTATTAAGGCAAATCATGGCCAAAAAGAATAAGTACAGCGTATGATAGTGTATAAAACTTCTTTAAAATATTTCTGTATCTCTGACTTGTTCAAACCCAACGACTGAATAATTTTTTGCTTGGTCCAAAAACAAAAAGAAACATATATTTTTTAAGGTCTGAAGAATCCACTGTCAGGCATCTATTTTTTGCTATCTAATGCACATCTTACAGAATTGCGTTCTTTTTCCTCAAGTACATAATTTACAGTACGGACCGAAAGCACAGCTAATAAGGTCAACAAAATCGACAACAATTGTCCATGGTCTATACTGTTTTCGACCATAGAAATGATGTCAAAACATTCTGTGGACTGTACTCTTATCAAACATAGCTCTCAACCAATCAGCATGCGAGAAAATGTTCCGTTATGGTAAAAAAGTATTTTAGCCGCAACTGATGATTACCTTCTCTGAAGGCTTTCTTGGCCATGGGCCCAGGACCATCAACTGTGCGTCCATCATCATCTGGACCCCAGCTACTACTGTAGATGTCAATGAAATCCCTAGCAAGTCCCAATGACCAGGCTTCTATGGCATCAGTTACATCTCCATCCAGCATACGAACACCTCCTATGCGTGAATTATATGCCACACCCACCCCACACATGTTATTGTTCACTCCAGCAGCTACTTCCCCTGCACACCTGTAAAAGTGAGATGCAACACATCACAAGGAGTTAGACAAGTTGTTACAAATTGTGAGTAAAAACCTGCAGGCTGATACATGACAGTTCTACAGCTTAGATTATAATGTATGAATGTATTATAGAAACAATAAATTGGCATATCAACATTTCTAACTTCCTCAAAATAACAATTAACAACAGTTGAGTATAATGTGTAACACTTGGCAGACACACTGTACAATGTAATAACAAGTTATTCAGCAGGGGGTTTCCAAGAGTGCCCAGAAGCACTAGCCAGTATCAGTATGGAATTTCTGCCCTTGGTCCTCACACATCATTGTCACTGGGAAGCCAGTGGTGGAGTCACCAAGACGTCAACCATTTACTCAGGCTCAGGTTTCAATAGCCTTTCTCCATAAGCAGCTGCTAGCTATTTGCTAGTTTCTTGTTAGGTCTCTCTTTTGCTCTGACAGGTTTTTGTTTAGTGCTCCAGTTAACTCCTTTCCTCAACAAAAAAAAAAACACTTCCAAATTCCAATTTGATCTGGAATGCATGTACACCATTAACCAAGTTTGTACTAGCCTGCAGTGCAGGCGTATTTTGGGTGGGCGAAACCTTGTTCGTGTTCGTAATATTGTTGTAGCCGCCATCTTTGATTTTATGACAGTGGAAGATTGGGGAGAGTAGAAGTAGTAACCCTTACGGTAGGAGCTAGGGCGAAAGAAGGAAAGGGGGGAGGGGGAGGAGAGAAAAAAAATACGCCTGCCCGATATCATTGTTCTTTTGGGAAACTCCGTACGCTGGCAAACGGAGCTCCTGATTGGTGCGGTAAGGGAAGTAGATTGATGCCTGTCAATTACAGTCAAACCAGGTCAAGCGTTCCCGACGCTAACAAACTAATGAATTCATTCACGGAAAAATGATTTCGTTTGTTGATTCAATAATTCACTCATAAAATGAACAATCCAATATTCATATTAAGCCTCGATTCCATAATCGAATGTTGATTCGATTACTGTTTTTTGAAAAACTACACTTTTCACATGTTGATCTCAGAATTTTGTTTTTTCCTCTTTTTTTTCTGAGAGTCGAGTGCTGGCGAGTTCTGAAGTTCAAACCCAATCAAACTGTTACATGTACGCCAGTTTTCTGCCAGTAATCAGTGCAACAGACCTAGGCCTGACCTCTTAGAAAACACGACGGTCAAACTGAGGTCAGTGTATGTGCGGTGATTGGTGGATTTCGATCCTCGGCCTTTGTCAGTTTCTTTGCATTTGCGGTCTGTCTATTCCAGCTGTTATTTTGATTAAAGGCAATGAAAGACGCAATCGTAAACGGCAGGAAAAAGGAAGCAAATACGATTGAACACAACAGACAAGAATAAAGAACAGGTAGATTTTGTTCATAAACCAAATCAACATTTGATTATTGAATCGAGGTACAATTTGACTGTTGGATTATTCATTTTATGAATGGATTATTGAATCAACAAACGAAATCATTTCTCCATTAATGAATTCATTAGTTTGTTAGCGACGGGAACGCTTGACCTGGTTTGACTGTAACTGTAAGTCTATATTGTTTATTCTGTTTCCGTCAGTCTTTTGGAATTGGAGCGGCTGGGAATGTCGCGTGTATTACGCAATGAGAAAGTCAAAGCGATTTTTACACTGGTCATCAGGACAAGATTTGCTCGCAGTGCCTACACCACTTTTACCTCATGCCAAAATGCTGCTTGTTCCAATACCTTTTTTTTTTCTGGCAAGTAGATGCTCTCTAGAGGGTTCTATGTTTTGACAGAGCAAATGTGATTTTAGCCGCTTGTTTCACACTGAGAGGTCATGACACGCTTGTTGATTTTCTGTGGTGTTTCTGGTCTTCATGATTTGCCCTGTGATGCCAGACGTTTTCTTTAACCTCTTTTGAAGGGTAACGCTCTTTTTTCGCGAAATGAGGCTGTTAGATTCTTTATTTTTGTCCAAAGTGTCTCAGGATCTAAATAACTAAGTGATTTTCTTATTAGTCCGAGAATGTGATGTTTTCCTGCAATGTGTTATCACGCTGGGCCCAGCTCGTTAGTTTTTTAAATTGTTTGTAGGATGTTAAACTCTCAGGGATAGCGATTTACAGAGATGAATTTAAAAGAATGAATTGCAGCTTAAACTGAAGCTTCATCAGCTGTGGAGAATTGCATTGTGACTCGGTCAAGATAAAAGCAATGATAAACTCCAGCTTGTTTTTCTTAAGACAATGCGAGTCTTTGGACTGGAGCAACTGTTTGGTTGTTTTGTTATTGTCAGCCACTCATTTCCAGAAGAACCGTCACGCGCGTTTAATTAAGGGGTGTTTCTCATTTTCACAGTGTTTTCGGGCAGGCGTTTTCTCTTCTCTCTCCCCACCCCCTCCCCGCTCCCTTTGACTCGCCCTATCTCCTCCTCTCTTCGAGAAGTTTCAACATCTCACTTTTGCGAGCAAATTGCGCACTCAAAGAAAACGCCTGCACTGCAGGCTAAGTTTGTACAGGGTTCGTACTCTTTTGAGCTGTTCAAATTCCATGACTTTCCATGACATTTTCCATGACCTTTTCAAGTTTTCCATGACCTTAGGTTTGTTTGTCACTCTCAAAAACTTTCACAATTTTCCTAGTTTGGGAGTATTCTTTGACTTTAAGCAGTTCAACAGACACAAGGTGTCCACCAAAATACAAGCCATTTCCGCTGTTTAATTACCCCTCTCTATCTTACATTGTCCTTGCTTTGTCATCTGTAGTAACTAAACTACCAAACAAAACTTTAATTTTCCATGACTTTCAAGGACCGACAATTAAATTCCATGACTTTCCAGGCCTGGAAAATGAAATTCTTAAATTCCATGACTTTCCAGGTTTTCCATTACCTGTGCAAACCCTGTTGTAATAACTGAAAACTGTTAACAATTGTTTTACACAAGTGGAGTACGCAGCTGTGACCTGGAGAGGGGCCATAAGGTCCCTTTTCCCTTTCCTCAATGNCTGGAATGCATGGACACCATTAAACAAGTTTGTACAGGGTTCGTACTCTTTCGAGCTGTTCAAATTCCATGACTTTCCATGACTTTTTCCATGAACTTTTCAAGTTTTCCATGACCTTAGGTTTGGTTGTCAATTTCAAAAACTTTCAAAATTTTCCTAGTTTGGGGGTATTCTTTGACTTTAAGCAGTTCAACAGACACAAGGTGTCCACTAAAATACGAGCCATTTCCGCTGTTTAATTACTCCTCTCTATCTTACATTGTCCTTGCTTTGTCATCTGTAGTAACTAAACCACCAAACAAAACTTTAATTTTCCATGACTTTCAAGGACCGACAATTAAATTCCATGACTTTCCAGGCCTGGAAAATGAAATTCTTAAATTCCATGACTCTCCAGGTTTTCCATTACCTGTGCAAACCCTGTTGTAATAACTGAAAACTGTTAACAATTGTTTTACACAAGTGGAGTACGCAGCTGTGACCTGGAGAGGGGCCATAAGGTCCCTTTTCCCTTTCCTCAATGAAAACCCTACTCTCTGAGAGTGCTTTTCTGTGACGTCATGTGTTTGGACATCTTGAGTATCCCTTGAATTTTTTTGGCACCTTTCGGACTGACAAGGTTACATCACATACGTAGCATCACATTTAATTCTATTTCAAAACTGGCATGAAATATAAAGACTAACAGTACCTCGTGCCATGTTTGTTGATGTTGTCTTTGCTGTACCGTGGCATGGGATCACTGTCATGGTTGTTAAAATCATAACTAGCCTTTGGTTCATAATTTTGGCGAAGATCTGGATGAGTATACTCAATGCCATCATCTAGAATAGTCACAACTATGCCCCGCCCGGTGATGTTTTTTCTCCATACTGGGGCAACATTAATATCAAATCCTTTCGGACCTACTGTTTGTCCTATGAAGAAACCAGAAAGCATTATTAGTTTAAATTTCTAAGTACTACAGTGCATTATACAGTTGAACATCCATTGCGCGGCCACCTTTAGGGTACCAGCAAGAGGCCACCTAATGGAGGTTGGCTACTCGACGAAGGTTTGTCATAAATTAGCGTAATCTTTAGCAGAAACATCACTTTATTTCAAAACAAACAGCAACGGGAGAAGTATTACTGGTCCACAATCCGTCATCACCTTGTATCTCGGACTATATTTTCCTTGACCATATTCTTAAAGTGAAGATAAACTAAGTGTATCAAGCACTTTAATGGCTGCTTAATAGAGGTGACAATAACGCCAAAAGATAACCACAGTTGCTTCAAAAAAGGTTGAACCCTTCTTTCCCTACTTTTTAAACACTGTTTTCATCACTTTATTCAAATGACTGTGATCATCAGATTTCAGTAGCTGTAGTTATCTAGTAGTGATGGCTGAAGCTTTTAGAATTAGCTTTACATTAAAGAAAAAGAGAAATCATGGAGAGGAGAAGAAAAGAAGCCTGTAGCCTATGCGAGCAACAGCTTTCAGAAAATAACTTAAAGGGGCCGGCATTTAGGCTTACTGAAGAAACAAGCACAAAAACAACAACATCAACTACATGTACATGTATGAAACAGCAACTTAACAAAAAAAGGAAAAGAAAAAGAAACTGCAGGCCTAGATTGTAAAAAATGGGGCATCTTCTCAAATGCTACTTGTATATATTTTAGGAGGACATAATTATGGACCTTCTAAGTTTTGCATAAATAATATTGTACCTCAAATCTTGAGTGGACCAAAGTCTCAAAACTTGAAACAAGCAAATATCTACTCTTCTTTTTGACAATCATGAATTTAAAAAATATTAGTTTCCTTATTATTCAAACTGGAAACTGACTTTTCACAAAAGCTCCAAAATAACAAAATTCAAGAAAAAATCCATCTCAAAATCAAAACTGTTTAAACCACAAACAAAAAAAACAAATTTGTTTTCAAGCGATTTCTGGGTTACATCAGAAGACATAACGTCGTCACTAAAGTGATATAGGTTACAAGGCTGTGTGGATAAGACGTGATAAATGATTATATATAGCAATAAGCATCAATATCTCAGCCTTGAGAAAAATCAAACTAATATCACATGGATATAATAAAAATAGAATATCACATGCCAACCAGTATGATAGTACAGGTACATGAAATGTTTTAAATAACTTGTTAAATAATTATGTAAAAATGCCCAAATTCCTACACGTTTTGTTTACAATGGTCACCTTCAACAAAACCACATGCGTTGAAATCCCTTATCATGTATTATCAACAACAGAAATGAGGGCTCACAAAAGAGGAGCGTAACTTGGAAAATATGACCTAGATGGCTAATGGAGTCCATGTATTTTCAAATGAAAATATAATAATATTCTACAAAGTAATTCCTTTATACTAGAAAAGCGTGCCTAACTAAGCCATCCAAAATTTGCCCAAGCATAACTATTACAGCTATAGCTAAACTACACAATTCGTAAATTTTGCCATTTCTGGTTTCAAAGCAAGCCCTGGTAAACCACACTGTATACATGTTCAAAAAACAAAAGCAGAGGAAAAAAGGTTTTGCGACTTGTATACAATAATAATATACATTGATGTAATAATGTATTTTATACCTGCAGTCTCCACATAATGTGATCTCTACAAGACTTCAGTGCATGTTTAAGTTGGAAAAGCAAATGTTTGTCAGAATTATTACTCTGCTATTTCTATGATAATTGTAATTCCTGTGACACTTTCTTTTTATAATTCTTAAGGTTTATTTCCTCTCAATTTTTAAATGGGATTAAAGCTAAGTCCCCACTTCCCTAAGATTTTATTTTCGGTAAAAGGACAAGCATAATAAAGAACTTTGTCACTAGCTTAAAAAATAAATACCAGCGATCAGATAAATAAATAGTATGCAAGGGATTAAAAATATGATACATCAACTTAAAAATTTATTAATATGGCACTAAATCTGTGAAAGATTTTATAGAATGACATTTGCCCCACAATGGAGTAGTTATCTCCTGCATTGCATCTGGTTGCAGAACAAATGCTACTCTGTCATAAAATGACAACATTGCCAAACTTGTTATCTTGTAGCTATGAAAAAAAATCATTAATCCCTCTCAGATATTTAGTATCCATATCTTATAACACTATCAGGTCACTCATTAGAGTCCAAGTGCTGAAAGTCTCTAATTGTTAAAGATTTTCAGGAAGCAACATTCTGCATGTGTAAAACGAAGAAAGTTAACACGTACTCACACAGGACATAAACGCATTTTAACAGACCCAAGTGTTAAGGTCTTTGTAGTCAAAGATTCACTGAAATTAGTATTTGCAAATCTTAAAAGGTCAGAACACGGGCCAGACCGTTTATTGATGTGCAATACTCAACTGAATTTTTGACATAATTTTTGCCTTTTTACACATATCTTAGGTAAATGATTATTATTGACAGAGAGACAAGTTTTATTAAAATATGTGGCCTTCATGTCATAAAAGTATTCATAAAACAGCACTGGAGATTAATGACCGACAAGACAGCACTAATTTTAAATATTGCACTAGTTAAATAGACCAAAGAATTTAGAAAAACACCTCAACCAGAGTACACATGTTGAGTACAACGCGAATTTTAGACCATAGTTCTTTTAAATGGAGTGGACATAAAACTACAGTGTATGTAGACAACACAAACAAAGATGTCTAGCTATTGAAATGCTAACGGCTCGCTTTGTACGTTCAAGGACTTTTGTTTTTGCATAAAGAAGATCCCGTCAGAAATTCAATAGCTGAGCTTTAAGATGAACTGTAAAATTTCGATAAGATAAATGAGGCCACTGATGAAATCTGAACCACAAGTCAAACAAAGCGCCAGTAGAATGTATGGTTATGGGCTTAACTCGTTTCGTAAAAATAACTCGAGAACAAACGGGCAATATGGTTTAAGCGTCATTACTGCCTCGATTAATGTGTTTGATGTTAAAATAAAAACTATATTGAGCATACGAGGAAACAAAGAATATTCGCGTGGAATTTAACCTGAAAGCTGAGGATCATAAGGATCAGCTTTTGCTCGAACTGATGTAAATTACACTCTGCGACAAAAAAAGAAGAGATAAAAGATCTGCCGCTAATTCACAATTGCCACAAACCACATAGAAATTGCTCTGGCAGCTCATTCTGTCTTGGAGCGAACTAGAAGTGACTCGGAAAAATATTTCAGCGCGCTCAGATAAGTGAAATTTTAACAGAAACAAATGCGCTGTAATAAACACGTACCACATCCGTACTAATGGAGAATCATTCAACTCAAGTTGAATGCACCAAATAAATTCATTTCTTTATAGGCTTGTAGCCTTTTAATACTCCCAAACAAGTATCCTCAAAAGCTAGGTCTAAAGGAGTCAACATGCATGCGAGCATGCAATGACAAGTTTCAAGCATAAGTTAAGATTACTTTGAATTAGGGCAAAGGGATCAGCGATATTCTCAGCGACATTTTCACTCACCTGAATTGTTTAAATACCACTGATCTTTGTAATAAGGATCTAAAAAATATCCGCGTTTGCTCCTTCTCAAAATCTTTTGTTGACGAGCAAATTTAACGTGTGGTTCCCGAAGAAGATTGTCCGTGTGTTCTGCGGCATGTCGCCGCGACCGACGCGTTGCAAGTGTCTTGTGTTCAAACAAGAAGTGCCCATTAAAACCTTCAATCTCTCCTCTGTTGATAAAGCCCTTTCTTTCCGCCAAGTCATCGACGAATCTCTTTTCTCTTTCTACGTAGACCACCCATGTGTTGCTATAAACATCCCTTCGTGAATTGCGTTGCGGCTTCAAGGCAACACAGCTCAACCAAATGCATGCCAAAACTATTCCTCTCTGGGCAGAAACACCCATCTTCTTGACACACGAGCTTCTTCTGTTCTAAATCGTCATGGTCTCATCGGTGACTTCTGATCAACAAGAAGCGAAAAAGTACAAGTTAGATGAGCCGCTTCTTCACCATCAAGCGTCAACTAAAATGAAAATCCTATGCTAGTATGCACAAAGAAAAATTGTGTAGATTCGGGAACTTTCCCGTGGTTCTCTGGTGACCTCTAAAACACGCAATACGTCAGAGTACACGTGAAACGTGAACACAATGCGTGTACGCGCGTGTAGCAACGGCTTGTCCTCTCACGATCGAAGAATAACTTGTCTTTATATTTCTTTTTGTTTAGCAGGATTTTATATCAAGCAAGTATTGTCAGAAAATGCTGATGAGAAGAATTTTTTCTGCTTTCTGTTCTCACCAAATTAAAAACACCAGTTCTCTCTTTGTACCCAGTACCGCGACCGCGTGTCGCGGTCTGTCGGATTTCGTGTCCTTTGCCCGGAGAAATCAAATATTCCCTATCTTTCCTTCCGCTAGGAAAGACGTACTTTATCCCGTTATGATCATGGAATTTCTAATCCGCTTAAAACTGCTGAAAAAGCAGATCTGAAGAAGTAGATCTAATTTATTTACTTACTCTAGCAAGTTTGAGAGTCTAGATTCAGGGACCCGGAGCTCAGACGTTTTGAGCTAACATACCTTTCAACTGGTGCTTTCGGAGAATTCTGACCCGCTCCCTCTTTACAAGACGGCACTTTAACCCTACACCGCGGCAAAGTACTATACACAGTACATTTGAAGCTTTTTTTTGTTGTTTTCCCCGTCTCAATTTGTTTTCATCGGCGACGCCTCACAGACAAGTTGAATAATATTTTACAACTAATGGGCTAAACAAATATTCTGGGAGTCATAAAAATATGCAGCAGGAAACCCATACATTGAAGCTCAAACACGCCGCAACTTGTAGAATGTGTCGGCTCTAGAGCTTGATCTTTTTGTCCTTTTTAGTAAACAAACAACACTTAGCACCAATACCGAAACCGGCGATGTGTTTTATTCAAAGGGGCAGGCATCACAGCCAATGGCTACTCAGCAAAAGGGGACGATGTTAATCAAGATAAACAGACGATCAGGAAGTGCGATAATTTTTTTGAAAATTCAGCAGACAGCTTAAAATGTTAACACTCATTTATTTTTGATGTAAAATGCCGCATGGCCTTTATTTAGCTCAGTCGTCACAGTTCCTTTCAGTTTTGAAACTAATTTCGATCTATTTCTTGTTAAGAAAACGAAAGCTCGACTCTATATAGTGCGATACAGGCAACGAGTCTATCAGGAAATGCTAATTATTCTTATAAGGTCGTGGGAATGGGTTTGTTTAAAGGTTTTCTAGTTAATTGATTTTATGGTCTGTCGACTTCTTTGAAAGCTGAAAAAATTGGATGAGAGGATTAAAATCCACCAAAACAATGGAGAACAAGATTAATTGGGAAAGACTATCGCATGAACCTGACCAGGTTATCCTGTTTATCCTGAACCGTGCCAGAATCTTGGATCATCTTAACATAGGCTATAGAGTGGGATCTTCCCATGGCTCGAATTTTCGATAGAGTGCATAATCCGGATCAGAATCTTGGATCACCTTAACATAGGCTATAGACTAGGATCTTCCCATGGACAGAATTTTCGAGAGAGTGCATAATCCGGGGGGTACTCAACAAAGTTTTGTACGGGAGGTTCCCCCCGGAGACCAAGCCCCTGAGTCTGTTAGCCCTTTTAAGTCCTTTTACAGACCAAAATGACAGATTCTCCTACCCTTTTATATACTTCAACAAGAAGTAAAATTCCTACCCTTTCATCTTGCCTCAGATACAACGGCCCTTTATAGGTCATTATGGGGAGCACCCCAACCCCCGGGGGCATGATCTTCCTGTATGTCAGTAATCGGCTCCTAGTGTAGTTTATTTATGAAACCCAAAATATGAACATTTAAAAACGTTAACAGAGCCATTGAGCATCACTTAATTAGCCACCCTACTGGCAAAATTTAAAGCTGAATTTATATTGTTTGCCGGACAGATTTTGAGAAAAAAAACCCAGACTGTTTTACCGTCCAGGCCATAAACGACCCTTGGGGATTTTTCATTTTCACTTTTCGCGCCACAGTAGAAAGGACGCGCGCGCGCGTTTCCCTCGCACGTTCTATTAGTGCATGCCGTTTTAAATAGGCAGTCCGACTCAGTAACCATGGTAACAATATCATCGGGCGACCCCACCCCATAGTCAATGGGTGGGGCTGATGAAAAAAAGGGCTATGTTATCTATTTGCTATCTTTTAACTGCATTCCAAAACTGATGGTCCAATTTTGTTATTCAAGAGTTTACTTAGGCACTGAAACTGTTGCCTGTGGTCTGTTGTTAAGGAAGGCCAACCTTTTTCCCGCAGGGTCATTTCTCTTTGTGACCCTGGGATCGAGGTTGACAGACATGGATTGAAGCTTGAAAAAAACTGGATCAACTTCCGCAAGTATGCCAGCATGCCTGCACAAATCAGCAAAAAAATTATATTATGTCAGGAACCCATAAACCGGAATGAGCAACTTCCATGTACTCTTGCCACGGCGTTTTCACCGACCAGTTTATTTTTAAAAAGATTTTGGCGCAAATTTAGTATCTCTTTAAGATCCAAAAACAAATCTTCGAAACAAAAAGACCAAAAAAAGATATTTTGACCAAAGACGATCAGTCATCCCCTTTTGGTATTTTGATGCTTTGAAAGCGCTCATTGAGGGAGTGTACCTTTTATTTTCGCGCGGAAAAAGTGCTGTAAAATATATCTAAGAATAAAACGGTCTGCTGTTAGAACGCGATGATATTAACCTGCGATAAGGTGGTCCTTCTTCCTTTTTTTTTTCGTTTTTCCCCTTTCCTTGAAACAAAAAATATATGATCGCAGGTTACCGTAACATAGGCTTATGTATCAGTATGACTGTTGCTCTCTCAGAATTATAATATGTAATTTTATTAATATAATTATAATAGTGCTCATGCTCCCTGATGAAATCCTTTATATATCGCTAATCTAAGGAAAATCGCATAGGTGGAAAGTAACTTTGAAATATAAAATAAAATAGATCGTCGAACTTCTTCCACAGTCACCTTGATTGAAACAAACAAGCTCTTTTATCACTCACAAAAATGGCTTTAATTTTCACCTTTAAAGTTTTGAGTAGATAAGATAAGCAGCATACAACTTCTAAATTCCTGGCGATGTGATCGTGATTTAGTGAACTATTGAAGAATTGACGAGTTAGCTAATTAAGCTGCTTTGCTAGCGATTATTTCTTATCAGGCAACTTAAGCCTCCCCCCTTTCCTAACATCGTGTTAAGTTTTCACGGCTCATGGGTTAGTCCGTTTGCGGTTTTCGAAAGGCTACTTTTACGGGAAAGTTGGAAAAAGGCTCTTTTTGTCGGTACAGTTTAACAGTTTTCAAAATCATCCTTACGGAAGGAACTTTTTATACCGTTTTATTTTGACTGTTTCGTGGCGGCGAGCTAGTGGCGTGGAAACACGCAACTCATTTATTATCACGTGTTCTGTCAGTGATCCTGTTGAAAGGTGCCGTTAAATGACATGCAGGTAACATGTAAGGCCGGCCTTATTCCTCGATCTCCGTTTCTTCGTGGTACGATATGCGCGAAACTTCTTGCTGATCTATTTAGTGAAAAAATGACGTACATGTACTTGTATACTAGGGTTGCGCACAGAGGAGCCTTGATTGTCTTTTGGGGTGTTTTGAGGTCTGAAGGAAAACGCTATTGAGATTAGACCGTTGAATAATGAAAAGACGTTAGCCTGTGAATAGGCTCTCTTTTTGAGGAAAGGGTGCAAAAATCGCGAAGACCTGTTCACAAGCTAAACGAGGTTTTCTATACATTTACTATAAATCCTAAGGCACACTATGGTCAACTTTGTGTCACGATCAATTTAGGAAGTGTGTTAGCATTAACAAAACACCGGAAAAACGAATAATTTGTTTCATTATTCCTGTAAATTTGGTGCACAAACAAGGAAAGAAGAAAAGATATTGTCACGTATACGTATACATTTTGGCATCAAAATGGGAGGGGCGGGAAAGGGTGGTATTTATTTTTACAAAAACTGAGTAAATAAAAAAGCAAACCATCTCTCTCCGGAAACAAGGATGAAGCCTCGCGGAGGCAGCGCCCAAAACTCGATTTTTTTCCCATCCTCAGGTATATTCAAACCGGATGTATCACTATCAAAATGCCAGTCGCAAGGGTTTTGAAAGTGAGTAATCCTATCGATCGTCCACTGCGGATGTCAGTCACAAAATCACATCGGTGGTTCAATTGTTGCGTGCTGATAACCTGCGATCAGGTATTCTTTTTTTTTCGGGAGAGGGCGAAAGTCGGCCGGACAGACAGACATGTATAGAGATATGGCGATGGCATGATCTCAAGCCAGCACGTGCACGCTGAAAGAGTTTTCTCCCTGATAAACTGACTTAAAAGTTCATAAAGTTCAGCATGGTTAACTGCATGAGTGCCCAGTTTGTAATACCCTACGAGCAGAGGCTCTTCAGAGCAGAGTAAGTTTACGATGGAAAGCCGCCTAACACGCGGTAAAAGTTTAAATCCGGATTTAAGCTGCTGTTTTTATTTAAAAAAGCATTCATAGTTTATCAGGAGCTTATGACCTGAAGCGGCGTAGCCTGCGAACAAGCTCTACATTTGGGCATTTCGCGGAGCGGCAAGAAGTCACTCGAGAGCAGCACGCGAGAGGAGACGCGAAAAAACTGCATGATATTTTTTCAACCTCACTCCAGACCCAGACCCATTTTTTGACCGCGCGCGCGCGCGTTGGCTGAAGCTCACTTAAAGTTGAGTGAAGCGGCATGGAATTTAGTTCCTTCAGAGCTGCATGTGCCCCTTACACCCTAAACAATGTGATTACATTGTATTGTGCTGTAACGAGTTGAAACTCAGGGGCACCCAACGATTGTTTTTCTCAGTAAATACATTGAAAACACATTTCAAGCTATCCAGAGTACTTTTAGATATCTAGAAATGCATTCCAAGCAGCGCGCTAAACTAGAGAATTTGTATCTGTTTGGTAATCCTAGGGGAACTTGAGTCTTTTCGAAATTACGGGGGCTTGAGTATTATTTTTCCAAAAATTTTAGATGAAATTTGACCTATTGCGAAAGTAAGACATTTTCTGATTTTTAACGTCACCACATTTTAGAATCCGATAATTTTAGGTTTCCTTTTTTAAAATAGCCTAACTAGGGACGTAAAATGTGAAAATTAAACTTCAGAAAATCGTAGGGAATCATAAGAGAAGCTTCGAAAGCTGTACGTGAATGGAACGGTCATGTAGGAATTTTTTGCCGTCCTCAAGTAACAGAAAATTTCTAGGTAATATTTGTTTCTCCGAACAGATATTTTACAAAAACAGGAGCTGACAGAAAACAGTCGTTGGGCGCCCCTGTGAAACTGATAATCAAGTAACACGTATCAAACAATTGCGCATACAGTTAATTATTACCCATGAAAAAGACTCAGGTTTTCAACCCAGCGTAGAAGTGAAAACAAAAATGATTGAACACAAACGGTTGCGCCGGAGAACTTTTACATTCAAGCGGAATAGTATTTAAGAAAAACTTGGGAGAAAAGCAAAGGCGATATTGTGCATTCATAGTCTCATGATATTTTGATTTTGCTGACATAGTTTTAATTTTTTGAAGTTTTAGCGCTTTTGTCAGAAAAATTAACCATTTACGCCGAGTGGGAGGAAATGAAATTGTCGGTCAAGATCTGCCAAAATACCAGAAGTTTAGTGATCCGCCAAAATACCAAACGAACGCTTTTTCGTGTTGTCGTCTCCCATAATTTCTTTTGGTTTTGGTCAAAAACCTCTCTTTTTTTCTCAGTGTTGTTGTGTTGTATTTTGAAAGTTATTTTTAGGGTTTGTATTTTATTTTAAATTTCGTTTTTGTTTCATTAAGTGGGTCAAGGTTAGTCTGGATTTGTCCACATAAGCGTTTTCCTATGTTGATCTTGTGCTTTTACTTTTACTTGAATTTTTGCTTAGCTCTCGGATTTACTTAATGCC